GGTTGCGCGCGCACCGGGCGAGAGGGTTTTGCAGTTACTCGAGAGGGAAGTGGCGAGAGGCGAGAGGGCAGAGCGGAGGACGTTTTCCGCGAATGTCCGTCCGCTGCAGAGCAACTACTGTTGATCCCAGCGTCGGATCTTTTTATTTTTCTTAATATGACACAACGAGTCCATCTAAATCATAGAAAAGAGTCAGAGACAGATTAACAATGGAATCATAGCGTCAGAGAAAACTACCTGTGTGTCTACGATTTCCCAGACAGCATATAGGGACATCTCCCCTGTGGGTAACAGGCTCAACAAATCAGTTTGGTAGCTATCGATTTCAGTTGTGGTGGCTTGCCGGCGGGCGGCAAGTTGTTGTTGTCGGTCGGTGTTTTTTGCCTGCTGCGGAGTGTTTTTGCTGCTGGCTCTTTTGCGGGTATCGGCTAGTGGTGCTGCAGGGAGATGGCCGCGTTCAATCTCCCCACGAACAAGCTGTGGTAAACAAAAAGGGGTGGTCAGATGGACAAAATAGGGTCGGAGATAATGTTTTTCTCGGGGTAGGGGTCGACCCTGCAGGTTTTAGGACAAAATCGGGTGGTCTGCGGAGAGGGTTTTGTACGCGGCTGCGTCTACACTGTTTAGGTTGTTGAGCAGGAAAAAAAGGGTTGGAGAGGGTCGGCGCGCCTTGTGCGCGGGGGGTGGAGGCGCTGTGGCGCGATTTCGTGCGGTATTGGGTGTGTGCGTCGTCGCGCCGCGGCACGTTCAGAAGGCGTCCCGATTTTGCACATTGTACCCCAAGGACGTCCCGATTTTGTCCAATCCCCTAAAGCCAGCGTGCGGCCCTTCACTGCCTGTGTACCCCCTCCTGCAGAGATGTGCAGATCGACAAGATCGTCAAAGATGAGCTGCAAGGCACGATGCCAGGGAGACCAGCCGAAAACGAGCGTCGCCACATCAACATGTCTCAGATACGGCTTTGGATAAGTGAGTGCTCACCACACCCAAAGATACATAGGAACGTACGTTGATTGCGCGTTTCGAAAGGGCGGGTCAAGAAGGCGGAGTTCTATCCGCTGTAGGAGAGGCGGATTCTGTGTTGCATGATATACAAGAGAACCGCAAGAAGGCGAATCTGACTGCCTGTATGGGCCGAAGAAAACAGCCACCGAGTGCAGGAGGGACTGATTGAGAGCGAGAAAGAAAACAGCTGCCACTCCATGTAGTAGACAGCCCACGCGAATACCCTCCTCTGCTCTGGGCGAACACAAATGATTTCCAAATTCTTGAGTCCGGGCGCAAATTGGTTGACACGAATCGAGTACGCCCTCCCTCTTTCTGCGCCGAGATATCTTTCGTTTCATTTAATTGCTACATCACGAATTTTGAAGACCACTCATCACGTATCTTGGAATCGATCTTTTGAGCGGGGCGGCGAAGGCCGCCAGATCCCTGGTTGTGTAGATGAAATTACATACCAGTCTATATCGTTGGCGATGTTAGTCCCAAGCTGTAAGGTTTTGCTCGTTGCGTGTTGGTTGGCGGGTGCTTTGCGTCAGAGGTTGCAGAGTAAATGATGTTAACGAGATTAGCGAGTGCACAGGACCCGCTTGGCCATGCAAGTTGATGCAAGGCAGAAGGGGGATCGCCCTTCCGTCTATAACACACGCATACGAACATGATACACGAAACCCCCTAGATCTCCATAGATAGATCAGTTTCTAGGGCTGAATACACCCAACATTGTGCTTCAGTCTTCTTGAGAACGGAGGAAGCGGGGGAGCGACCTCGCCAAAATATTATTTTCGGTTGTCTTCGCCGAACTGAGCGTGTCAACTTCACGATCACAACGAACGGCGCGATGTCGCGAGCTCGAGACTCCAAGGGCGAGCCGAGTCACAGCACCGTGAAAGACGCATACATTTCCGACTTCTCGCCCGTACCGGAGGTGAATCTAAGCACGGTACGTACGCCACCTCACAGAATCACGCCAGCCAATGCACAAGACTTTGTTCGAGAGCGCGAAGTCATCGACTTTTAATAGCGACTACTGGTACTTCTTGGTTTAATGTGAAGACAACAACAACGCTGACGGCAGATTATAGTGTGGTAGACGATATCTTTCCGTTTTTGTTAGTTCATCGCTTTAATATTTTCGGAAATATTCAGCGTTCACACGCACAGCATTTCTGCCGTGCAGGAGCTCCAATCAATCCGTGGTCGTGAGACTATGTTCCATGCTCCATGGGTTTCTGTCGGCGGGCATGGTGATCAAGAATTGTCAGGATGGGAGTCTAGGCTCTTTCATGTGCCAACTATATAGAATCATGTAAACCTGTCTAAAGAAAACAAGCTACAAGAATAGTTCTTAGTAGTGTTGACTGGTGGTGGATTCTTTTCAATTTTTTTTTCTCTCTGGAACTATATTCCTTCATGTTGTGACCGCCAAGAGAAGACGTGCTTGTCGTCTCGGTTGTTTCTGCGCTTGGTTGCTGCGGCTCTGCCTTCTGTCGGAAATACTAAGAACTACAAGCAGGTGACGACAGCAGGGTAGTTTATACAAATGGTTCGCTCGTGTTCTCTTCTACGGCAACTGTTATTACAGTTTAACGTGTGGAATGTGTAGTTTGGAGGTGGGAACCTTTCCTCCAGCTCCATGCCCTTGGTGTGACCTCGCGAATATGTATCGTCAACCTACCACCGCAGATCATCACCATCATCGACTTGAAAGCGCGGATGTTTCCAGCCTAATCATGAGGAAGAGGGGGTCCAAGGCCTCCGCGTCCGGAGGCCCTTACATACAAAACAACTTTGCTCGGCTCGCACACCGAGCAACCAAACCCTCGTCGAGCGTGTTCATCACTTTCGTGGGGGTTGTTGTTGTCCGTTTGAAGAAACTAGACGCAGGTCGGGCGAGCTTGCACTGGCAGAGACAACCACTCATGATTCTTTTCAGTTGACGAAAAATACCAGCTTCCAAACGACCAAGAATGGCAGGCTTTGATGCCGTGACACGTCGTTATATCAGAATAGGCCCATGTGAACCAGGCGCCGAATCGTTTCCACTTGCCCCGATCCTTCCTTCTGGTTTTGCCGTTGTCGCCGGTTCTTTGAAGAGGCCGACGATCTGCCCGAGCCCCGCCTTGTAGAGACCCACACAACGCTGTCCTCATTCAACTCTCGCAGTTTTCGCGTGTCCGCCGCTCCCTCGGCAGGTAACGCCACCGTGGACTCGGACGCTTCCGTCCCGACGATGCTGCCACCACCTACAGACCCCACGCTGCCCACTGACTGAGTCATGCCTCCAAACGATGGTGCCAAGGATCCCCCGCCATTGTTTGGAACCCCTCCTGGTGAGGTTTCACCGGCGGCACCAATACCGTCTCCATCGTTATCCAATATTGCTCGTCTGGAGGACTTGCAGTCGTCTCCCTGCCCAATACCCCACGAAGAGGGACCGCGTCCACCGTGCAATGTTCGTCCGTTTTGAGTTCCCTGTCGCTGCTGTCGGGAGGCACCCGTGCCAATAGTTGTTCTCGCCCTCTTGTCGGCCTTGTTCCTCTTCCTCCTGTTGCGCTCCCCTTCCTTGGCTAGCTCCTCCGCGAGAGCGGCTCGCCTCGTGGCCGTCCTAGCCGCCGCCCGCGCGGCTTTGACGTTAAAACCTCCCCCTCCCCTGTCCCCGGCGATAGTGATCCCGCTGGCAATCAGGCGGCCGCCGTGCGAGCCAGCGAGAACAGCCACGGGCGGTAGGCCCTTGATGGTCTTGTCCATTGGTGACTCTCCTGCACCCCTAGCTACGGCGTTGGCAGGCTCGCCGGTGCCAGCGATGCACGGAACGACGCTGTGCGATTGGCAAACAGACATGTGGAGGAATTTGCCCGGTGAGTGGATCCGTCTCGGGGAAACAAGGGGCCGAAAGGGCGTGGTTCGGGTGTTGGCTCGTTTTCAAAGGGATGTTGGCCAACCCAAGCAGAAGAAGCACGGACACAAGCCGTTGACGATGCATTGTCCGTGTGGCGAACGATGCAGGAATTGGTGAGAATATGATGGCATCGACTCACCACTCTCCTTCGGGTTGCGCCAGCCACTCGCGCAACGGCCGGCCCTGTAGTGAGCTCCTCCCCGACTCCTCATCCATGGTATCCTAAGTGAAACGTAGCAACAATGCGATGTATTTTGCAGGAGGATATTCGTGTTTTCGTACCTGATGACCATCTACGGAGCGCCATGCACTTCTGCACCAGGTTCCGCGGCGTACGCAATTCCCCCATTGAGTTTCTCTTCCGTGCCCACTTGATCACCATCCCGGCATTTGGCGTGTACTCAAGAGCGTTGCGGCAATCACCTTTTCTGCGTTCAGATCAGCCCCGTTTTGCTGCTGATCTTTTTGCTGCTGAAGGAAACTTTCGTTGGGAACATTGCCGCTAAATACGCCCTTGAAATTAGGTCGCTTCAGCGCGGCGCTTGCGTCCAAGATGGAAGAGGAGCATCAAACACAGGACAAAATAACTCGTCTGTTTCAAGCGGGTCCCATCCGCTTCCGTTCGAAGCAAATTCCCGATGACTCTATTTCACGCGGCTTTGTCCCCGGGGACGATAGCTACTAAGGAGAGTATTTCGGGGTCAAACCGGTTCCATTTCCAGCAGATAACCACCGTTCGCAAAACAAACGCTGAGTACCCCTCCCGACAACACGCAATATGATACAATGTCCCCAGCGGCAAGCCACGGCAAGGCCCACTACTGCGGTCGAAAGAAACTAGTCGAAGCGCACGCAAGCTTGATGAGCGAGTTCCACATGGCACGCTGTTTCTCGACTGCTCTTTGCTAGATTTTTGGTCTCAGCGTCAGTGATATTATCTCGTCGAGTACACGTTCTATGCGATGCGCGGTATGTTACCTTGAGTACCACCCCCGTGGCCCCCCTGCTCTTCGTCCGCTTCAGCGCAGCATCCTCCGCGGACCCGACGGTGGGTCTCACGTAGCCCCTCATGCCCTTGTGAGTACCGACACGGACAGAGCCCGCCGTAGGCAAGCCTTGTTCCGACATAGATCTCTCCAGTAGCGATTCGTCTAGGGAAGCGAGAGTGAAGGCGGCAGGGGCTAGACATTGGTCCGGAGGCGTGTGGGGGTAGGCAGCGGCTGACATCGAACATCTTGTTTACATGTGACGAAATCTTGACATGGAATTGGATACAGTGACGTCAAGCGCGAGGTATGGACAGCATTTGGCGACGATCCGCGAGGGGAGGCATTGGGAGGCTTGACGTCTAGAATACTGTAGATGTTCGTCGTAGAATGTGATCGCTGTGCGACTGCCCCGCGAGAAAACAGTGCTTGAGAACCAAGGCCGATCAAACCCGTGTGACAACTGGTGGCGACCGTTGGGATACACGGTATTGCTAGGCGGTTTGTTCCCTAGTCAGAGTTTGAAAGCAACCGCTTGTCGGAACAGGTTTAGCGTGGGCGGAGTATGGAACCAAGGAGAGCCCCAAGTCTTGATCCTATTGATTGCTTTCCCCGTTCACGGGCGGGCACTCCCATCCAGTCAATACCTCTTCTCACCTTCCGCTGTCCAGGGGGCAGACTTGGTGCGCCACCGCTTCCCGCACAGAGGCGTTTTCCTGATAGGCTGCATCGACGCAAGGGACATCGGCCTTCCGAGGTGAAAACGCTCCGCCTTTGGTGTCCTTTTTGAGGAAGATGCTTCCAAGGCCTCTTCAAAGTCTTGCAGCTGTCTGACAACCCGACATGATATTACGGGCGAAAAATAGAACATTCAGATGGGCCATCGTCGTGGTATATATCAGAGTGGAAGACCGTGAACGTCTTGTAGTACTCCTTTCAAATAGGTGCTTGGTGGCAATCTACAACCCTGGGCAAGAACCGATGCAGATAGAGCTAATGCAGGGAAACAAGGGTGAGAGGAGAAACCACTGCCGCAGATAGCCTGTTGCGTTTGGGTTGCGTATCGTCTATTCCGCCAATTGGAGGGGTCCACCGTACTTCCTGTAGTGGCGCTGAACCCTCGTAGCATACCTACCTATCGAGGGTGCATGAAGACGCGCATACCACAAAATTATAGCAAGCACCGTGGGGCCCTCTCATTGGCACCCTTTCCCCGATTGTCTGGGTGACGCCAATTTTAGGTGCGTGGGCAATATGGCAAACATCTGCCACGACAAGGTCATACCATGCTTTTTCAGAGCCGCGATCGTCGCAGCATCCCGTCTGACACAATGGGCAGCGCCACTGCCCCTACCTTGCCATGCTATCCCATTCCGACATCCAGCTAGGCCTCGCCCCCCGCTCAAGACGTGGAAACCTTTTGGTCTTGTCTCCCAAACAGCTGGTTGACTTCGATGTTGCTCTGCATGTCGGTCTCTTCCTGGTTGTCGCATCGACACCGGTACGGACGTTGCCACTCGTGGTCGTCGCAACTTCTCCATGTCCTCGCTCGGTTGCTGTTGTTGATGTCGCTGTTGTCGTGTTTGGAGCTACCCCTGCTGCTGCTGCTGCTGCTGCTGCTGCTGCTGCTGCCGTGGTAGAGGATGTCGGAAATCTTCAAGATCCCAGTAGTGAAAGGAGGGCGGGGCGGGGATCACGAACCAGCGCACGGAAAATTAGGGGTCGCGCGTGTCAAGAAAAGCGGTTCATGTTTCAGGTGGACAACGTGTTCCCGATCTGCCCTCCACCGGGCAATGTTTGGCTCGACATACGATGACAGTGTTACCTGGTAGGATCGGGTGATCGGAGTCCTCCTCCATCTGGATGAGTCTTCTCATCCCTGTCCCGCTGCTTGTCCATGTCATGTTGCTGCTGTTGCTGCCGCCCTGACCGACCCCTCCGTTCGTTCCACCCCGGGCCCGCTCCCGTGCTGTCTGCTTCAACACCAACGTCGTCGTGGAGGTCGCCCTCAAGGTTGCCGTCCCCGCCCCTGAAACTGTCGGTTTTCGTGTTGCTGGTCGTATCATTCACTGTCAATTCCTCGCTGTTGCCGATGGTCTCCTTCACCACACAGTCAGTGGTCGCGGTGGTTGCCTTGGCCGTGTCATGGGTGACTTTCTCTTGGTCCAGGTCATCTTTTTCGTGTCTGCAGTCGGCGGGGCCCCCGCTACCCGGCACGAAAGCCCAATGTCGCGACGCCTCCGCAGCGAGGTACATGGCTCGTTCTGGCCGCCTGTCGTTGATGTCCAACTGCATAACGTGACACGGTGGCGAAGAGATCCGGTCAAGAGTCATGGAATTGAAACCTTCAAGTGGAGGGGTCGCTTTGGATCGTTGCTGGCTAAGGTGTACTTGGACAAGTGTAATGGCCGGGAAGTCCTTGATCACCGTTTACCCGACATCATTTGTGGTGCAAGAAAGGGTCCAAGAGGGAGCCGTCAGATATCACTTCCAGCGATCTCCGTGGACGATTCCACGCGAATTATCGTCCTGTCGGGGGAAACGGCTTCAACAAGCAACTACGTTTTGTTCCACCTAGGGCGGTGCAGTTTCAAGAAACCGTCGATGGTAGTCAGCGACAAACGCCGAGGGATCACGTCCGGTCGCTTGATATTTATCGTTACATACTCGAAAATTCTGACAGCGGCATGCATGGATGCCTGCTTACTCGAAACCGCTTGACGTTGCTCCCCAGTTAATGAGAGTGCCTGACTTTTGACTGCTAGTGAAAATAGCATGGAACATTCTTCGATGGCCGTCCGCGAGGGCAGCGAGATGGCTAAGTGAAGGTGTCGAGGCGCTCCTGACAAGGGCAGGAGCTACATGCCACGTCTGATTGTTCGACCCATGTCGATGAGAGCCGCGGTACAGCATCCAAGGCACGGGCCGGGCACATACATCATTGAGCAGAGAGGCAAAACGCAAGCTTGCCTGACCGAGCATCGCACTCCCGTCTGGCTTCCAGATCTTGGCAAGTCCATCGGCTGAGGACGACAACAAGGACGGCGGCGATTTTATCCACGATATGCTTGTAACCGCTCCAGAATGCGCGACCCAGGCTGAGTGGAAACCCGAAGAAGGGACGGCGAAATTATTCGGGCCCACACCGTCCGATGACGAACCTTTTTGCCTCCGCCTTGGAAAGCAAATTGGGGACATGAGTTGTGCAGAAATTGAGCATCGCCTCGTGGGCTGTGAGCTTGGGATGAGCTAGTGCAAGGCCAAACGATCGCACATTTGTTCCGCCTGACGGCGAAGTCCTCCAAGACCAACGTGACATTGTTGTTCGCGGCGAGACATGCTTCTGCTTGTACTTGATCAACCAGTATTGATCACGGCGGCTCGGTCAAAGTCGAAGCACGCTTTCTTGCAGTTGACAAAACACCCTCGCAACAGTCTGGCTTTTGATCTACTGCTGTGCAGAAGCAAACCGGATGTATGTGCACCTTGGCATGTCGGCGTGCACCCCTCCTGCTACCCCCGCTTCACCGTTTCCCCCGGCCGCCGCCTGTTTTTGTACACGACACGCGGCTTGAAGGCTGAAGCGGGCGACTTGTGGTGTGAGCTCCACGCGCACGGCACGGTATGGATTGTGGTTTGGCCGTCTCTGACACGGCACCGGGCCTTTGGCGGGCCCGCTGAGCTCCGCCAGCTCGGTCGGAGAGAGGTGCGCCGCCACGATATCTCCGTTTCCGTTTCCGACATAGATCAACGTCGTTTCTGTCGGCGGCCAACGGTGAACGAAGCTCATTGCGAAGACAACAAGCGGGCGGGCATGGGGTGTGTTTTCATCTGCTCGTGAAAGGAATGTATACCGCGTTCGGACGAAGGGATGTATGTTAATGGATAGAATAGATACACCGTTGCGAGAGTGCCGCACCTTCCCCTGTCGGGCCCGTGAAAGTTCCCCTAGCCAGACAAGTCAGAGTTTCTTCCTGTTTTGCCCCGCTTTCTTCTCGCAAACGACCACCGCTGCCGCCAGCTGCGCTGATGTTTTTTTTTCTCAGAGAGGCTAGGTCTGCCGGAAGAAGAATTGCCTGCGCGTTAAATGAGAACGGGGAGTGCCCGTAACTTCCTGTTATCGACCTGTACGGCAGGCATCTGTCCCCGCAAACAGCTAATCTTTAGAGGATGTCGAGTTGTCCAGGGCTGCTGTTGGGTACAACGTCCGAGAGTAGATGGACTTTTGGGCACCTTACAAAGGGGAGTAATCATGAACAAGCAAACCTGTAAGGTCTGTTCAACAGGTATCGATGAAAAAACTTGGAACGATTGGCAGCTTGCTGGGAACTGGGATCGCGTTTATTTTCGAGGGGTAATGTGAAGGCTCCCCACCTGCACGCACACACAGTCCAGCGTTCGCCACACCACCACGGCACCTTCGGTGGAGGCACCCATGAGCAACGGATACGGCGACAGGAACATCAGGGCCGTCACTAGCGCTGGTCGGTTGAGGCCGGTGCCTGTCTTTGACGCCGCGTGCTGCTTTTCCGTCGCTGCTGCGGTATGTCGCACCGGTGGTTGCGACGTCGTGGTCGTCGTCTTTTTCCCTACGGTAGCGGTAGGGTTATCTCCGCCCATGTCTTTGTTGTTTCCATGTGAGGATTCCACCGGAGTTGAGGACGAGTCTGTTGCGCTTGGGTCGACCGGGGGTTGAGCAACCGCGGCGCAGCGACGGTGCACGCTGAAAGCCGCTGCTGCATTGGTCAGGTCTCTCGTGAGGGCAAGGCAGGGGACCAAGAGAGTCCCCAGTAGGCTCATCCTTTCGGCATCCCAAAGATGGAGTGATGAGGATGCTCGTCCGACACGGGTAGAGGCACTACCACTGTCGTTTGTTGGTAGGAAAGTGCAAGGGGATAGGGTTCACACGTGGTGAAATGCGAAACGGCTTTTGTAATAGCCCACAAGCTTGAATGGGTTTCCTCTGTTGCTCATGCATTAAATCCTAGCGTCAGTCCAGGTACGGAGTGGTTCGGTCTGTTGTAGAGGAAGGCCGGGTTGACTCATTGCCGAGAGTAGATTAGAGAAAAATCTATCAACACAACAACAACGATAACGACGAAGCTGCAAATGCTTGTTGGTTCGACTAAGCAATCAGAACCGATTTGTAAGTGTCAGGAACAACTGCAAGAGAGCGTTTACGCTCGAACGGAAACTGTGCAGTGTCTTGACCTGTTGGCGGGTGGAAAGCGTGACAACGAGTATTGTTGCGCGCGTTGTGCGACCCTCCAGCATGGTACGGTGTTTCTAAAGGTCAGGCATGCTAAAAACAAAGGGGACAGGGCCTTTCGGAACCACCCACCCCTTGACCAGAGGTCTCCAGACACCTATCGACGTCGGGTAATGTAACCAGTGGGCATCGGAGAATAGTTCGAGAAGGGGGGTGCTGTGCTTCCGTCTGGATGTGTTGTGGTCGGGAGAGATTACACATCACCTACAGAGTTCGCGTTTCCTTGTTCACCTTTCTGCGGGCATGGTTGCTTCAACGCCACCGTCAGAAGTTGCTGCTGTGGCGATGATGGAAAGATGGTCATCGGTTGCACAGGCAGTCATGTCGAACTGAGAGAAATTTTGAACGTGAACGGACGGAACAAACATGCTAAGAATATGGGTTAATCCAAGAAATGAGATCGAGGATTTTGAAGCTCTACCGGTTATTGAAATCTTTGGATGCTACCATCTGGTCTCAATTAACTGCCATGGTCAAGGCAGTTGGCCGAGTTCCCGGATGTCTGTCACGCAAGTTATGAACTGCAACATATTCAAGATTTTCACGGTTGAAAACGCCAAGTTTCAACTTTGTCGCGACATGACACGGTCTCAAGCCACCTACCGTTGGCTTCGCGATAATCAAGTCTCCCCGGACACCGTTCTTGTTGGCCTTGTCCCCAGCCAATATCTCTCTTTCAAGCAGTCCGTCTCGAACCGCAGGGGACATGAGCGTGCGGGCAGCCCTCGCTAATCTGGGGAGGCGACAAAGCGAGGGGAGATGGGAACGCAAAAGTGCTTCCATTCGGTTCATTAGATCTTGAGTCCGACAGCTTGTCGACATATCCGCGCAGAGTCCGAAGTGCATTTGCGGCCACCGCAGTCAGGCTTGACGAAACTGCTGTATACAATCAAATCTCGCTTTCTGCAGTACCGGGCCCAGGAAGACAAAATATGGATGTGTTGGGTGGGTATCTGATAGACTGATTGGTCGGATGGACCGTGAACTGTATTCATTACACCAACCACGAAACTTTTTCCGGGTCCCGCGCTACCCGATAGAAAGACTTACGGCATACAGTATCATGATCGTGGGTCCCCGAAAGCCACCGGGAACAATAGACATAATTTACCAGTTGAACGGCCGATGGATGGCCTATGACGGCCCATGGGCGGCCCACAGGTAGGGTGGTGGCCCACAGGCCGTCCATGTCGCCCCGCCGAAGGCCCATGGGAATCCCACTAGCACGTCTCACGTGCGGTCCGTGGGTTAAGACGACCCATGGGCGGCGTTTGGGTGGCCCATTCGTTTAGCGATTGAAGACTCATGATGGCCAATGGGCAGTCCATGAGCGACTACGTACGAGCCATGACGACTCTTGACCGCCGTTTGGCGGACCAATCATGAGTGGCCCATGGGCCGCCAATAGACCATCTGATGCGATCTCCCACAGACCGTCTGATGGGGACGCCTAGGAGGACGACCATCTGTCCATCTTAGATCGCCCATGGGTGGCCCACAGGACGTCCCACGGGCAGTTCCAATGATATTCGCACGTATAGTAGTGCGAACCTCGGGGATTGCTTGGGATGGTGTGGAGTCTTACATTGGCACACCTGCCGTGGTAAGCCGCAGCTGCACGTGAGCCGCTCACGGCAACCTACTGTAGCATTTCCAGTGAACACCAACCTTACTAGCTATGGCTGCCCACCAAGCTAACACACGAATATGGTTTCTTCCATTAAGCATCAACATTGCCTAATTTCAGAACCCTGTCGTTACACCAGTGTCAAGCCGTACCCACCTAGACTTCATCGAAGGCGCCGCTGTTCCTGTAGAAGCCAGGGCATCCTCTGCTGGACATACCCTGTGATTCAACATCCCAGACTCCCGACTACTTTCCTCAGCAGTGCCCAGAAGCTCCTTCTCCTCCTGCTGAGGTGGTGATCTAGCCTCGCGCCTGTCTGGTCGGGCAGCGTCTGCGTTCTTGTCTTCGTCAACGCTGCTATGCCCTACGTCACTGGGGTCTTCAGAATCGTTCGAAGCGAAAACAACTTGCCGGAGAAGAACCGATCGCCCTCCTTTTCTGTTTGCCTTCCCCACCTCCGCTCCGGCACAAGCACCAACTTTTGCCGCCCTTGGTGCTCCGCATTTTCGTATACCTAGACTAGCGGGGTTAGCTGTGAGGCCTCCTGTTCCTATTTCCTCCGACCTACCCCCCCCATTAGGCTGAAAATTGCTCTGCTTCGCAAGACGCGAGGCCCCCCTTCGGCTGCGGAGCTGCCCTGCGCTAAGGTCGTCGTCAGAGTTGCCAATTGCGTCATGGTCGTCTTCGGCGTGGTTGACGGCGTTGTCCCTGCTGCTTGTGTCTCCTCTAGCAGCGAGGGGAGGTTGTAACCGCTTACACCTTCGACCGGCCGATGGCGGAGGCGGTTTAATGTATCCCTTCTCGTCGGCGGCGTCAAGGACGTGTAGTTCTCCATCCCCACCGATGCTGAAGACACACCTTCGAGTGAAAAAACAAGGGCGAAGGTGCAACAGTTGACGACTAAAACCGCAGGAGAACAGCTTCAACACACATCCTCACACACTAAACGTGTCCCTTGACCCGTCAAGGGCTGTGCACGAAAGGCTCTGCGGGTCCCTGGGCGCACTGATTGTTGCACCATAGTACTATGTATGGCTCATTCCACTCCAATGGATCGACGACTTTCATGTATTTCGCGCTGAATCTTTGTGCAGGACCAACTTCACCTCGATATTCCTTCTCTGTAAGCCGTTGTTCCAACCATCAACGGCGGGTGGCACCTCGACGCACACGATTTTGGAAGGCGGAAGCCATTACAGCTGCAAGCGCCCGAGGACTGCAGCCAAACCTCTCAACGAAAAGTGATCACTCCCGCCTCTGCCGTTTCAACACCTAGGAAAAACTTCGGAAGGGTTTTTCTCCAGTTTCCAGGCGGTTTATATAATCATACAACACGTGCATCTATTCACCCCCTCCTCAGAGTTTTTAACATTGCGAGGGAGCTCACGTGTAGGACATAGTCTTCGTCCAGAACAGGCTGAAAATTCAGTTGCCCATAGATTCGGAGTACAAATTCGTGTGGAGCAAATCCAATCATACATACCAAACCTGCGAAGGACGATCTCTTCACTCTCTCGCACATGTCTGTTTTCCGGGAAGCGAAGGAGAGCCAATTGACCGGACCGTTGTGAGGGTCCAGCTGCCGGATGACCGATCCACTGTGGGAAAAGCACGCTCGAATTTCCCCGGTGTCGGTTCCGACTACGAGCTTGTGGCCCTTAGTGGTATTTTCGAAGTCATCATCATGTTGCAACGATTGGTGTAGACGTTGGTTGAGTTACGTCATCGTGACGATGCCGACATGTGTGTGGTTTGCAAAGTGGAACCAACGTGAACGCAAGTTAGGTGGGAAGCGCGCATACGGTGGCCAGGTTATAACTTAAAGAAAAACGCAACCCATCGAGACACTGGTCTGCGCCTGACGGCGACAACATGCAAGGAGAAAATACTATTGCAAAGGCAGGAGTCATTCCTGCATGTCAAGAGTGAAAATAATGGACGAATTGCACTATGCAGCAGCAGAGCTGGTTGACTTGGAGATGCTATCAAAGTCACCTGGTGGTCTGACGCAAACGCTGTGATATCCGCCTGGTCATTTCCCAGCAAGCGCTCCGACGTCAGGGTGGTTAACGCCTCGCCGCTTTTGGCATCCCAGATGGTCACCCGTCGTGCGCTGACGGTAACAAGCCTCTGTCACAGGGTGCAGCAAAAATGATCTCAAGCGCGTCCCAATACAATGGGACTTGAACAACGAGTATCGCTTACGACGACGTCTTTTTTCGAGATATGCAGATTACGGGTCAAGTTTCCGGGGAAAGAGTGGAGTTGACGTTGGTGCCTTCATGGGTTCTGAAGATTCACTGCTCGGGTCTGGTTCGTGCTTGCCACCAGATGACTACAAGATAATATGTTGACACCCTGAACGACCGCATGCCACGAGAACCATCCGACGCACTTCTAGGTGGAGCGCACGCAGCGGATCTAACCTGTAGATATGGACAGAATTCCGCTTTGATGAGCTCCTCGTGGACCCTCTTTTCCACCCGCGCGAAAATATCCAGCCCGGCCGTTTCCAGCATTCCGGCAACGAGCAGCATCGGCCGATCGGTCGACCTCGGCACCAAAGCAAAGCACGACACGGACCGTTGGACCTACCGGCAGTGGCACGCAACATTGAAACAGCATGAAAGAAGAAATCTCAGCCGCTCCAAACAGTTTGATCCGTCCGCCTTTTTATTCTGAAGGAGGGAAAATTCACACGTCACCTGCAACATAGAGATTCACTTGGTGGCTGAGCAGGTGTACCACAGCACCTACCAGTTACCGTTCGATCTCGTAATATGCCTTATGGAGTTTGTTTCCCTGGAATGGTTTCTTACTGCATAGCACTGTTTACCACTGGCCTCATAGGCTCCCAGGACGAAGGATCAGGAAAGCAAAAGCTAATCGGCGCAAGCAATTCCGCCTCTCCTTGACAGTAACGCTGGGGAGCGGTGTTGGGGCATGCCGGCTCTTCATATTCCTTGAGTACTGACACCACAATGTGAGTCTGTTTCCCGTCGGGAGGCACCGTGTCACGTCTGGGTAGGTACAAATAGGCTCAATATCGTACCTTCCTTCTGTATTGGTCTCCCACAAGCGGGCTGGGGTTGGAGTTTACCGATCCAACATCCGTACTCGCTTCAACGTTTGAACCCAAGATTGTGCGGTGCGCGTGCAGATGACAACGGACTATGAACGCAAGCCAGCAGCGCTCACTCTGCGTCTGTTTGCACTCACAAGCGGGCTGTTCTTGGCGCGTGTAAATCGTTGCTTGACGACAAGACTCGGCATCTGCCACACCAGAAAAACTCCGTCGGCGCCTCCCGTGATCACCTCGAGGTCATCATCAGTGAAAGCTATCCCGACCACCTTCGCGTCGGGATGTTCACCCGCGTTTTGGGAACTTCACGTGAGTTTCCAACATGTTGAAGCTTGGAAGATCATTTTGAGGCAACGTTGGCATTCCGGTCACCGCTATGCGGGTGCCATCCCGGTCGTGCGCAAGGGGGTTCGCGCAATAACATGGGGCTACCCTTGACGCGATGATCAAGCTTTGAGAGTGACCGCCGACACAGTGCTGGGACGATGGTTGGTGCTCATTGCACCTCTCGTACACGAAACGATCATGCCACACATTTAACGTCTATGCCATATCACATCCTCTGGAAGGTTGAATCCTACGCGAACATTTGGCAAGCCTACCACGTTCGACTTCCATGCGATATACCTGCCCCTCGTGTCCCCTGAGACGGCTTTGCACGTCGTTTCCGAGGAGGCCGCGGTCACGGTCCAGGCCCCACACAAGGATGTCCGGCGTAGTGTCGACAGCGTTCACGAACACCCCGGCAGACAGGGCGAGGGAGTGGTGAAGGCAAAACTCCATGCTCGCGATCCCTCTCTCGTGAGCCTGTCATTGCATGGCCCCCTTTTGTCAGAGCCGGTACTTCGACAATCGGTCCGTGAAATACGGAATGAATAACGAGCTGGGGTGCTTTCACGTAGGGCTACGTGGCGTCGAGATTCCAGAAAGCGCTTGAAGGCTGTGTATGCGATTAGCTCAAATGAAAGCTGAAGCCGCCCATTGTTGGACGATCGCCGTTTCGCGTGCTCGCGCCACCATGCAGTCAAGAAACAAACGAAACAGCGAGGACGTCCACAGAAATGTTATTTGTTGGGTGTCATCTCTTGTTGTTGGCACACCGGCTGCTTTTTCGCTCAACAACTGAGACTCGTCTAACCTTGAGAAGAACGCTTAATGTGATCAACACTTAATGTGATCCCTACCACATGTTTATCAAGTGTGTTTTCCATGCGGCGAACTAAATGCGGGTCCTTGATCGGTCTACCATTGTTCCGTCTCCCGAGCTGCACCTGCAGGCGTTGCAACACCCCGTCGCCGCGACTTCCTCCTTTCGCAGCTCCGCCGCAGACTGCGATGGTCCCGTCGAGGCTAGCTGTTACGAGGTGCGGAGCCCCACCTGTGTGGCCCACCTGCCCGGCATCGCATCCGGAGAGTTTCTTCACACCGAAGAGCTCAAACAGCTCAGCGTTTCCTGCGTTATATTCTACTTCTTGGTTCCATCACAGGCTAGCGAAGGGTAGGGCGGGTAGGAGTGCGTTGCAGAATGTTCCTTGAACCCTCCCACATATATATATATAGTTTTTTTTTTTCTCCCATCATTGGATTATGTCGTCTGCCCTTCTGGCTCCTATCCTCCACTTCTACCAGCTAGACGACCCAACCGGGGTCACATAGGGGGTGGGGGGGTTAGACCCCCTCCTGTCGTTCCTGCCTGAGATATTTTGATCGCGAGCAGGGTACAGCAATCCCTTCCCTCGCGACTTATGAAGTCGATCATGTTTACTAAAAATGAGCTTTGCAGCGCGTCGCTTCCAACGGAGACCAGGATTCAATTAGCGAGAAAAACCTCACTCTGTCGGGACTCGAACCCATAACCTGGCTCTTAGCAGGCTGCAAGGCAACCCACTAGACCACCGGGGCGACCGGTAACATTGTGCTTTGACGAATATTTTGACGTATTTATATGTTACCGGTCTGCATCGGTAGATGCTGAGTATTTGTTTATCGATGTGGTGGCAATACAATGCAACAACATGATCACCAACAACATCAATAACAACGACACGACGACGACGACAACGGCCACAGATATCATCGAATGACACCAAAAATACTGCATACAGCACACAAATGTACCGGCGCCTCACCAACTCGTGTATGTGCGTGATCCCGGCGTCGTGCAGCCAGAGCTTTGCCGATTGTCTTAAAGGCCCTAGTTCCCACCCCAGCAACGACCCGTTGCTGGAGCTTCCGGTAAGCACCATTTCCACAGCAGGGGCCCAAAGTATGACGGTCTGCCGCATCAACCACAATGTCCATATCATTTGGTCACTAAGCACGTTACTGTGGATGGCTCGCTCCGGTGGTCTGACGAAAGTTCAGCACTATTGCATCGGATGTTGTCTTGGCTGTCGTTAATAGTAGTCACTCACGGGAATGGCATGATGTGTTTGCAATTTTTGTGCAAGCACGCCCGTGTTTGGCGGACAACATTCGTAGGGGTGTTAGGGTGAAACGATCCAACGTGACACCACCGAAACAAGGGTGGGTTGGTATCAATACTCATGGAGCCGTCATCGTCCTACAAGAGGCTTCAGAGAGTCACTGGAATCTGCCCTTCTACAAGGTTTCCTGCGCACATGAGCCACATTACTCGCGCTTTAAACGAGCTATACTATTTTAGACCCATCACAGCTGCCACCACAGCAAGGTACTACCCCTCTTTAAAGAATGGCTAACGTTGAATGTTCGACAAACCTGCCGCGTGGAGGTCTCTTCCCGGCTTTTCATTTCTGGCAAGAACTGCTTCTCACTAGACCGTTCCTCCTGGGTGGGAAGGTCCCAAACCGTCAAGACATGGGGACCCGTGGAGGAGATGGAGCTGCTCGTGATCACCACATCTTGCCCCGGGATGCTGTGCACGGCGTTAACCTTGGGAACAGCGTTGTTTATAGGGCATAGAACACATATTTGCTTCGGACGGAGCGACGCACCGTCCAGCAGCCCAAATGTTCCAACGTGTGTACCACAGCGGTTGCTCACTTGCATTCAACTGTTTTTGGTCTCGCTGTGCCACCTTCAGGAGCGCTATACACACTTCAACGAACAGGTTGTCATCTTGAATATTCGCCGGAACTGCATGTACCGGTGCGGATACAACTCGCGAACCCAAAATCAATATACGCAATAGAGCACCACGTCCTCATGTAGAGTAGACCGGGCATGTTGTCGTTCGTCAGTAATCACCTTGCAACCACACTTCCTGTCTGTGACATGTCACATCGCTTGGGCACTTCTTCAAAGCTCACGCATTCGTGTGGTCGGTCGTTCACACGAAAAACTAACGAACCTCGTGAGGTTTGTAGGCCGTGTCGTGTCGAAGAGAGCAGCTTACCCTCGCTAAGTCGGACCCCCCGCCTGACACTACCTGAAACGGCGCCTTGTCGTCATCTTCGACAAGGCCCTGGCCTATCAGGTGAACTACCTGTGTCATGTTCAGATAGGCGCGGTAACACGTGTTTCGGCGCGGGTTGCTTCAAGACGTACGACTACCACATGACCCAGGATGAACGTCAGGTGTCAACAACAACATTTTGGGAGGTAAGACAGCCATGGACAAGCACCGCTCATGCCTGCGTGCATGAGGCGATATCCCAAAAAAAAGGACAGCTCCGCAACTAAAGCTGCATGTTTTCGAAAATGTACCCCGTATTCTGCGTGTATCTCTTGATACCTGATACCCGCCCGTCTTTCCGCGGGAGTATTGGATCCACGTCTAGCATTGCGTTTTCTACGGCTGATCTCCTACCAGGTGACCACGGTCTCACTCTACCTATGAATACAATCCACGACTGCCATAGCCGAACTTGTTGTTGTCGTTGCAAGTTTGCACGCTTGAGGGCTCCTGCAAATTCGTTGTCGCCCGTCTCGGCTTACTCTTCGTATTCAAATGAAACTTTATGGTTTGAGGCACCGCGGTCATTTCGTCAAGTCACCTCGTTCCCTTTCCCCACAAGGCCCAGCTTTTCCACTGGTGCCGGCAAATATTCTACCCGAGACACCTGGTACGCCAAAAAAATGTGATCCGGGCAGAAGCAGGAAATGGAGCACCAAAGGCCATCAATCAGGTAACCAGGACTGGTCTTCCAATGCCGTTCCCGTTCTACAAGTAGACCACGATTTGACCAAATGAGACGCTGCTGACGTCAGCCGCAACACATCCTTCGAGTGGCGCCTCCAACGCCGCGTGCGGGGTTGAAGATGAGGTGCTACATGTGCCACTCCCTGGCTTAGCGCACACTTGTATCGAAAGCGTGAGGGAGATGTGACGGAGTGTCCACGGCAACCGTTTGCCAACATTGCGATGGATATTCGTCACAATGACCGCGCCAGTGCTACATCCTGGACAGCTGTCTTCTAGTTAAGTAACCGGAGCATGACCTTCGTTTCTCCGTAGTCATTGCAACAAAAGCTGAAACTCCTCACAACCGTTTAAATCATGAAGCTGAAGTAGGGTTCTGCGCCATTCGCGATTTGACCCACCCCGCCTTCTCGAACGTGGCCGTCTATTCCCAAGTGCGTCGCGAAGTGCCGGAAGACGCGCCCATTCTCATCGGCTGCTTTGCCGTCGTGCAACAGCTCTAGCTGAAACATGTACTGTATAGACATGCCACGGGTACAAGGACGACATGACACTTGGAAGGGGTAGGTGGTGTAATCGAGTGCTGATGTTCAGTCGCAGATCAAGGGCAGTCATAGCGACATCTTGCATGGTACGCTTATAGCAAATGGCGTTGTTCATATTTCACCGTCGAGTGCTCCAGAGGCGCACCAGGGAGCTGTCGAACGCTTTTACTTGGAAGCCCTAACAACGCATTTGATTCTACGCAGCAGTTTCGCCCCCCTGCATATAGTGTAGTAAACTGGGAAGGTACTACCGTATGCGACACAAGATGACACACCCCGGGGCTAGCATTTGGTTTTTTCAAATACTATCACGGCGTGTTGTATTCTGTGGGGGGTGTGCTATCTTGGGTAGCCTGGATGATATTGTGCAGGTGGGAGCCATGAATGATGTTTATTTTCTGTCGATGGACTTACCGCAGAAAAGTCTTCCCAGCACACTTCTCCGTCGCCGCGGATGTCCATTTCCTTAAAAATCTCCCCGACTTTGCTTGCAATGCCATAGACATCGTTACATCCATGCCCATGAAGATGCCCGCCCGCGGTGCCACCTCCATTCATAGCTGTGAAGCCGAAATCTCCATGCTCAACGTGCCTTCGCACCACGGTCAGAAACTGAGACGTAGTGTTGATAGCGTGCAGGTTATTTTTTTATCTTCACTACAAATCAGCGCGCACAGCACTAGTGCCGTTTACTCCAACCCGTGGTCACACAGAAGAGCCCCTCCACCGTCCCCCTCCTGCGGTACTTTGCCTTCGATTTTCGATGCGAGAAGAGTTCAGCACTCTCTTCCCTCTGTGTACACACGAACTAGCGCTATCCACTAGGCCAGGAGCGGAAGCGAGAACAAAACTCACTTGGCAAGAAAAGCTCGCTTATACCGGGATTCGAACCCCTGACCTGACCTTCAGAAGGTTTCGAAGTTACTAACTAGACCACCGGGGCGACCGGATTTCGGGTTAGGGTTAGGGATGCGACTGCAAATGGCGCCCGCACTTAAGAACCTCCAGTTTCGGCCGAGGCTGGGGTTCTTATTGTGCTGATCATCCTCTTGTGGGCTACAAATGACCGCTATATAGATTTTAGTGTGGGGTTCGTAGCCGAGCTCACACATGGTGCTCAAGTTCTCTAGCGTCTGATTTTTTTGCGAGTCTCTGTTTCTTAATTGCTAAGTTCATAAGTGCGGGCGCTATCTGTAGTCTACTTGAGAAAATTGAGAACCTGTTTTGCACTATCGAGAAATCGCAGAGGTTCATGAACATGCTTCCGAAAGGTAGGCTATGCCATGAGTTTCTACAGTACTGCTGCGCAACTGCGAGGTCGAGGTGGCTACGGTGTTGGCATTTTTGTAGACCGCAGCCCCTACTGCTGTAGTACCTGAGCTGGGTTGAGACCTTCATCACTTTTTCGGGGGAAATCTTCGCGAAGAGCATCCAAGGAGGTCGACTCTGCGAGCTTGCTGAGAAGTTCCAGCCCCCAAGACGTCATCCCGAAAAGCCCCGCGCACCGCTATTGCTCATCCGTCCCGCTCTGCGCAGAGGAAAGCTTACCCCCGCAATACGCAGTCGTTGTGGTGCGTTGCTTCTACTGACTGTTACCGATACATCTCCCCTGTAGTGAGTCCATCGTTTATTGTACGATAATGCAGGAGCAGAACATTATTTACGGGCTACGGCGGTGTAGATCCTGTGCCCTCTCAGAGCTTCTCCAACGGCACCCAGCTTGTGCCCAGCTGCCGGAGCGAAAGCGAGATCGCGGCGCTCGGGACTGTCGATTTTTCGAAACCGAATGCCGAACAGGTACCTATTGCACCCCCCTTTTGTCTCCGCGCGCGCTGCCCGGCTTGCTGGCCTCCCCTCGTACGCGTCCGTCACGCATGGTCGCGGTGTGCACGGTAGCTAGCTAGCACGACCCGAGGGCGTCATGGAACGAAGCGTGACACTGGTGATACTCTATTGCCCTACAGGGCAACAGCAGCGAGATAATCCTGAGACATACACACGACATCAAACATAGGTGCCGCCTCGATGCATTGCGGTGCTACCGATGAGCCTGAGTTGGAGAGGTGGTTGGAGCGTGCTCTCACGGTCAAGCGAAGGCAAGTGCTCTGTACTACATGTACTAATCGTAGCAGGCAACACGCAGAAAGGGAGGTGGTCCAAAGTGGGGGTTGATGTTGCTACAGTCCCGTTCAAAGCAGGCGTGCATGCACGACAGTGCGGCAGCGGCGTACTTCTGTAGTCTACGGCGGTAGGCGGACAGTAGTACTGTAGTGCACTGTAGCACAGCAGCGATGTCCGCTTATCGTAGGAGCACATTTTTTTTTCAAGCAAATGCTCGTTCCATTTCTTTGAGGGCTGGAGGAATGGAGGGGGGGGGGTTCGGGCAAGAAGAGCTTCGCATATCGATAGGCCTGTAGACAAGATGACGGCTGTACCACTCTAAGCCTGTATAAAGCAGTACGACTAAGGCTAGTACTGTAGTCTAAAGCAGTAGTCTACAGATGGGATCGTAGAACAGACAAGTTGCAGTACACCACCATCGCTTCTTTCCACAATGACCCAGATGTTCTTCCTACTCGGGCCTGCCTTAGAGGAGGGTCTGAACCGCTCCCTCTCGCCAACAAACGTACTTGTAGACAAAGAAACTAATGCACTCCCTGTCGCCCCCGTAGTCTACTTCGAATCCTCGAAGAGCATTGTAGTGGCCAGGGTCAGTTGTTCTCTCGATTCCGTTCCTGGCATGGTTTGAAAGAGCTGGTTCGTGTGAGGAGAGTGCTGCTCTCTTGTTGCGTTACAAGCCGAAGGCAACCACAGTTGGAAGGCTGGGTGGGGGGCCGCAGGAAACCCTTCTGTGTGACCACGAGTTGGAGGAAGCAGCACAAATGCTGTAGTCTGTAAATGATGACAAAACAAACTCCCACAACAAACTCCCACAACGACCAACATCGGAAAACCCTGATCTCGCGCCGTTCCTTCTGAATCCTTGAGCCCGCCACAACGACAGAAAAGTACCATGAAAAATGAACGTCTCACGTACCGGAGCAACGATAATATGTGTACTAGAATCTAGCAATAGTGTTTGCGTTTCTTTTTAGCAAGACTGAAGACATTTCAGTTGTAAAAGTGCACCCTGAATCGAGCACCTCTCGTGGTTTTCGCCTTCACTTCTGTCCAAAATTACTACATGTACAGCGAGTTGTGAGGGATAGCCATGCACCAGATCAAACTCCAACGGTTTTTTGAGTGCACAATGTAGGGAAGTATCGGCTAGCTGAGGGTTTACAGCCGGAAAGTTTCGCCAGCCAGCCCTTTGTATCGTAATATCTGACGAACTGTATTGCCGCATCCGAAATGTAAGTGTTTACCTCCAAACAAGAGCGCTAAGTGGAGACCGGAGCGGTTTTTGTGTGAAAACGACGACAACAACAAAAATTTATGAGAGCGTACGAGTGCCGGCTTCTCATGGCGCACGAAGTGTACTTGCTGCTGTTTTGGTTCCGTCTAACCTAGACCCGCAAACCGCGCTTTGTGCTTTGTGCCCAGGGAGCGTCGCACAGGGGGCAGTCCGTACGAAATCGTGCCGGCTAGTCTCCAGGAGAAGGGAGCTAAACGCCACCGGAGATTGTCTCTGAAGGCATCGAGGTGACAGACGTTGGAATTTCGTGACTCGGAAGACAGCAAGTAGCATTGGCGCTGGCCACCTGCACCGAAATCGAGCGCCGGCGTCGTTACAGAATGTGTGGCAGGAGCAACGCAGGAGCATGGGGTACAATGGTGGTTCTTGACGTTTACAAGTCCGGGCCGGCGGATTGTCGTCTGTATGAAGTACATACGTATTTTAATCATACACTACACATGAACGTCGGGAGCGGTGGGACGGTTGGCTTTGTTCGTGCAGGTCGCCACACAAGGGGTAGGACTTGTCCCGCAGAAGTCCTGTTGCTGCAAAATCTAGCAATTGTCATCGCTACTTACACGGCAAGCCGTCCTTTTGATGTTCGATGAATGCTTGAAGTTTCATGCGTCAAAGGCACACGGTCGACCGTCACAGCGTGGATGGACACGTGTTGCAGCATGCGCGCACAACACGTATACTCCTTCGCGGTGATGTTCCGCGTTCCAGATGAACCACTGAGGAAGGTGCAGACCATTCCGTGCATGCATACGCTGAGGGACATAGTCACAGGAATACTACCAGCAGCACGAAACTGCAGTCCTTCCTTAGCTATCTTACCTTACCGCCCGTGATTGTGCTATCCTCCCTGCGCAAGGCACCACAGCCCTCACCAATGGAAAGGAGAGGTACCATCGGCACCCCGCTGTCCCTCCACGGGGAAACGCGGGATACCGACACAATACAACAGCCTGCCAAACATCATCGAAGCGTCACCTACCCCATCGCAAGGACCAGCGGTAGACACCCCTCCGGAGAAACGTCGCCGAGGTGAAAGGAATGCCTCTAGCCAGGGCGAACGAGGGCGCCCGCAGGAGCAGGTGGTGACTGTTGATACTCCAGTGAAGGCGGCAAGGTTATCGCCAGGGAGAAAGGCCCAGAAAAATGGGTTGGTTGGGGAGACGGAAGAGCGAATGAGCGCCGCGGATTTGGCGGCGAAGAAGGTGCTGCTACCGTTTATCAACGAGCTGACCTTCATCGAGATTGCACTCGCTGCGGTGAGTGGTACATGGGTAATCTCAGACGTGGTCAGTGGATTCAGCAAGGTGAAGGTACCATCCCCGTCATACCCAAGTTCGAGTTGAGGTAGGCTACACGATGGCGATCAACTTTGCCTGCCTGGTCGTGATTACAAAAGAAAAACGGTTGACCATACTCTTGCACTTGGCATTACCATTCAACTTGTCACTCCCCTGTCGACAGTACCTGTAGATACCAAAGTACCCCCCTTCTCCCTAATACGTACTCGAAGACGAGATGGTGAGGTAGCTCAGGGATATTTCAAAGGAAAGGTCAGCATTACGGGTACACGCCATAGGGCTGAGTGAAATCGGTTCATTTGCGAAGGATATTCCGGCTTCGTGGCTACACCTTCCGCACGACTGTATCAAGGGTGACTATTGAGCTCCTTCGTACTCTCTCCCTCATCCGCTCGGAAGTAGAATGTGAGCGATGCTCGCGCGGAAAACGATCCATACTGAATACAACCCAAGCACCAGCAACTTTTGCAGAATACGAAGCGGTCATACCAGAGCAGTGCCTGCATGTCATCACGACTATCAATATGTCCCACCAACACGTCGCGATACAAACATTGCGTTGGACGATTCACGAAAGGATTTATTCCTCATCTAGAAGTCCTTTCCGCCGCTCATCCCCTTGTTTCTCCGCCTCCTTTCCCTGTTAGCGAGGAAACCCCAGCGGGAGAGGACTAGCGTCGTCGAACCCAATCGCAATGGACGCCACCAACCTCTTTCAGTCGTCCTACCTCTTCACTGAGGGCGTGAGCAGCCTCGGAAAAGCAACGGGGACGATCCCGAGGAATCCTTCGCTTCGACGGTCTCCAACAAAGGTCTTGCAGCCACACGCACCAGATAGCTCCGCTTTGGACGAGGCTAAAAGCGCGGTCGTTGCTTTACCTTGCTGCCTTCTTGTCGATGTAGCCACCGTAGAATAGAACTATTGTCCGAGAACGCATCACTTCTCCTGTTTAAGCATGCAATATCCTGCTGCGTGAAAGTTTATCCGAGCTAGTGAGCAATCAAATACGATTGTACCCTTCGAACGCCGTCGTCGTTGTTTTTGGCCCATTTCGTGTACTGTAAGTAGATGGCGCAGTCATCCATGTATTAAATTACAATTCGCAGTATCGAGCGTTGCGGCAGGAGCCGGGTTGAGTTGTGTATCCCTCAACCCTATCCCTCAAGCCAAGCGGTAGTCACACCAGGGTCGACCCTTTTTCACGTCGACCATTGGACGCGAAACGTTGGCTGCGGGCGCCCTTCAACACCACTCACTCAGCAACGACTCACGCCACACAGATGTGAGAGCGAGATACTCCACCTAATATCCGCAGGAAAAGCTTGAAACGGGAACGACAACGGTTGCGCATCTATGTCGGTCGGCTTTCGATTATGCTCCTGTCGCAGACGCAGGCTAGTGCCGCTGGACCCCCGGATACTTCTGGAACAACGCCGCGCTCCCGTGTTGGGCCTGCGTTCTGCGAGAGTCCCCTGGGGAAGCGAGGAAGGGGGTGCAGCGACGATGACGGCAGCAGCATCGCGAGCAATAACCAAGAATCGGCAATGGCCGGAGGGGGCGGAAAGCACCAGCACGGTGAAGTTAGAGGGCCTTCTCAACAACCACCCATGGTAACATCCTCCGTCTTGAACAGCAGTTGCAAGGCGCAATTGCCCCGCATACCCGGAGCTACCTCTCCTGTCAGCCTCAACGGCGGGAACCATGGTGGCGGCGTCAGCGTGGCGAGCTTCGAGAAATCGGGGGGGTTGAGATGCTCTCTTGGCAATCCCGACGTTGCTCGAGTGCTCCGCAAGTGGGTGATTATTTCGCGGACACCTGTCCGCAACGGTGAAGTGCTTCCTCGAGGGTTTGAAAAGGGTAGCCAAATATCTGGGAGTCTTTTCGTTTTGCGACAAGGAAAGTGGTATGCCCACTTGAACACAAGTCCGGACCCCGGACAGTCATGCGGAACTGTACAGTCCCTTGGTTCCCCTCCTTGTGCCCGGTAGATTTGAAAAAGCCCGCTTTGTTAGCGCGTCCCACTACAACTACAATCAGCGAGTACGTCGATATTGTCACCCAGTTTAAGGGAACGTTCGTCACAGAGATCGGCGCCCGATCGCAAGTGAGACTCATATCGCCTATTCGTTTTTTTGTGGTGGTCCTCAAGGGGAAGCACATGTTCGATCATCAGCTTGGGAGTGGGAACGTGGCAGCATTCATTCCTACAAGTAGCGCGAACCTACCGATCTCCTCACATAGCTCTGCGCTATTTACTGATTACGCCTGACCTCTCTCTGTTGAAGGTACCCCCAATTCTGCGATTTCGTGGGTCTGACTCTAAAAGCTGTTAGATTGGAGGGACTTGCCCCAAGATACCACCCCCCGGCGTGGACACTCGGGCTGTGCGAAGCGGTGCTCGACGAGTGTTGGAAGTGCGACGCCCAAACAGGAGCAGGGGGCGCCAGGGCTCTGCGGAACACTAGACGCGCCGCTGCTGGTGAGTACCTGTTGCGTCAACGTGTCGCACAACTTTGAGGGGACGTGCGAACGGCACTCCTTCATGCTTTTGTGGGGAAGTGGTGTGAAAGTATGACATTTCCACGCCTCTCCGCACCCACAAGATGTACCTTCGTGACAGCAAAGTTGGGTCTCGTTTCATTTTCTCGCCACTTCACGAGCCGGGGCCATGGAGGATACAGGAAGCTCTACCTTCGGCCCGACCTGGAGGCGTTTCTCTTCTCATGCAGAAATGTGTTTCATCCTAGACGAACTATTGGGTGGTCTTGCCCACTTTCACCAACGTTCAACCACTACAATTCGAAAGTCAGCGATTCATTTCGTGCGCACAAATGCAGACCGTTCATTGTCTTGTGCGCAAAATGCCAAACAGGACTGGAGGCGAGACTGGCGGCCTGCACGACCGAGGTTGACAAGTGGTGTCTGGCGCAAGCCAAGGATCTTGAAATTCGAGCAGAGGTATGGCCACACGCTCTTATCTGTACCCACACGCATTCGCTGGTGAGACTCCTATCGTCCCGAAGCTAAGGCACATGCTGTTGAAAGCGTCGAGTTCACACAATGGTGGCATCAAACTTGTTACGCGAGGTGCGCAATGGCGAAAGCACAATTATCCTGTATCGTCCGTGAAACTCCAACAAGATAGAAGCCGGGCGCAAACCTTCACACGCGCGAACTTCCAAACGTGTTTTGATGGAGCTCATTGATCCATGCCTCTTGGAGATTCCAGGGTGAAACGAACACGGTTCACGAGCATATGGCAACCGCCCGGCATGTGCGAAGTTTTACCCAGCTGCCCCATCGAAGCCAAGGAAGTTTCAAAATGGTGCCATGTCAACTGACCCTGCTACTTCACCAATGTTGCTTGCTTCTTATCCTGTCGTGTTGGCCCTTCTACCGTTCTGTGAATGCGGTAACAATGTTTCCGCTATTGGGTTGTGCCGCATGCCTGTGCCTATGCATCACATGTGCATCACATAAGTGTCTCACGGATGTTCTCGCGTACGTCAGGGCGAGCGAGACGACAACTGCGAGGAGAGAAAGAAGAGGAGACAACGCCGGAGACGACAGAACCTGCACCATGACACGCCAACAGATGGAGGAGGAATCACAATGCCAGGTGCCATGAGCGGGGCTCAAAGGGATGCGAATACGAGCGGACAGAGATGGGCACATTGTAGAGGATGTCGGACGGGATGCGACGTGCGTAACAGACAGTTGCAACGAACTCGCTCGTGAGCGACCTCACGGGAGCGGCTCCAGTTCACGGGTTCTGGTACCATACTTATCCATGGATATTCTATGGGCCCCTTGGTTTCGCATGCTTGGGCAGAAACTTCGTCCCCTAATTGTGCATCCTCCCCCGGTTCGGTAAAGGTTTGTTCGACTCCGTCTTTCCAAGGCCAGGAAAGGTGGAAAGAACAGCGTCCTTAGGCTGTTCCGCCCCGAAGGTCCAGATGGACACCTTCGTTTCCACTCCGTCAATCGGACTTTTCTACTCTTGTGTTGAACAACGCTCGAATCGCACGTACCGAAGAACGCAGCGCTTCATTTAGCAGAACTGCTCTCCTTCCGATCCTTCTACGTCAGCGTGACAACCCTACCTGACGTCTTTGCTTTCTTGGAGCGAATTTTTGATGATGGATTCTCCGTCCATCCCTCTGCTTTCTCCTCAATTTGGCTTTGGACTACCGTGGCACCGGACAGGCGAGGCGTCCCTTGAAGCTGCGTCTAGCTTGCGGTTACCCGAGTTTGTGGCTACCTTTCTGTCGGAGAGATTCGGTGTAAAGGCGGTGACTCTTCAGGTGCTTAAACTCGACCCAGATTTATCACCATGTAGAGTTTCTAGAGTATTGCGTAGTCTAGTGGGCATCCAAGAGGATTCCGTGAGTGAACTTCGTAGTCAAGCCATGCAGACAACTGAAGGAGCAGCTATCTGCCTTCCTGCAGTACACGTTGAAAATGCGTCGTCACCTTGGCTTGGTAAAAACCGTTCTCGTAGAGCACTCATAGTTCTCTAGAACTATGGCAATTAGATTTTCATCAACCTGCGATCAATGTGGACTTGATGCCTAACCCAATCAACTACACCTCGCGAATATCATTGCCGAATTCAATAAACAGGCCGCCGTCGATCTTTTGTTCGGGCTGGAGACTCTCCGCCCGTCGTTCCCCGAGCTGGAGCACTTCTCGCTCTTGTTGAGAGAGCTGCACGACATGGGAGCTCTCGCCTTAGCTTTGCACGCCAGGGAAGTCGTTTCGCGTCTTGGGGGGCTTCGACTTCGAGACGTCAAGCGCAGGTACTGGAGCGGGTGCCCGCGAAGGAGAGGGGACTTTGACGGATATAGAGAGCATGCGCACGTGCATGTTTCACAAGTGTACCGTGTACAACATCTACGGAATTCGGTGTGCTTCGTTTTCTTAGGCCTGCACAAACTCGGACAGAGCTACAACGCCGTAAGTGTACATTTGTCCGCATTTTCTTCGGTCGGCGCTAGGTCAACGATTGGTCGTATTCTTTGAAATGCCTACGGCTAGTCGAATATCCGCCGCTTTTTTTGATGCGTTTTCTCTTTCCCTCCCTGATAGAGCCAGCTTAGCTGATTTCTTGTGACTTGGCCTCAATAAGCTGACGAGCACCAGGCACTGCGACCTCGAGCGATTGCCACGGCGCACTTTTGGTAGGATGAAAAGCAGCGGAACCCAAGTCGTCTGGCTCAAGTAGAACGATAACCACGGGTAGTGTCACCTCAGGAAGCAGTTGTGTGCGTTTGCTTGACCTTCAACACTGTTCCTCTGTTTCTTGAAGTGTCTCTGGCTCTTGGTTCTGCTTTTTGGCTTTGTCCAGGCTAGCCCAGCCGAATTCGAGACATCCGTTGCGCAACGAGGTGGTTGTGTCGCCCCATCCCGCTCTCCCGATGGCGGCGGCACAAGTGTGGCTCACGCGAAAAGGAGGCATCGCCTTGGCGTTCTTGTTGCTGGGGGGAGGGTCACGTGGGGTCCCTCGTTCGAAAATTGCAGGTAAGGACATATTTCCCGTCCTCTTCTTCATTTTTCGCACTAGCTTGAGAAAAGAGTGAAGATTCACGTAGGGCCTGGGGTAGTTGGGGGTGGGGCGAAGAGGCCCTGGTCTTGAGGTATCAAGGTCAACAGTTCCCACTCATCACCTTACGGTGTAGAGGCCTTCTCGTGCAGCCCCGAGCCGCCGACAAGTACCTTTCTGTCCGGTCCATATGCCATATGTAGAAGTATTGTCTAAGCATTCGTGAAGCCGAAGTGCGAATGGAGACATCACAGGTTGCTATTTACAACAGATGCCCTACCCCCGGAGGGGGCGTGTGGGTTCCTGAAGAGTCGACCCCAAAAATGTCTCCCTCGTGATGTTTTTGTGCTGACGCAGGAATCGTCAAGGACGCGCGACACGTGGTTTCGTCGACCAGGGCAGCCTGGGGAAGGTCCCCGCAAGACGAGACACAACAGCAAGAAATTCCATCTGCGTCGTCGAAACGCACCTGGATGGAGCAGACTGGCTCTACTACGCAGTCAGGAAAAAACGTTGAAAACAACCATCCGGCAGAGTCGACCACGGACCAAGGGCATACAGCAGAGAGTGGCAGCTGCATGGACCTCAAGCTGCGGAATACTGCCCATGGTAGTACCGGTGCCCCTTGTATCCCTCTCTACGGTCTGCTGTTTTTTCTGTGCGAGCTTCACATGAAGACTCCCGAAGAAATAATGGAAAAGGTAAGCAGACGCAATGCTGCCCAACGGTCAGAAGCTTGTTGCAGAGGGTCGGACGCCGGCAAATGGTTTATATCGGTAATGATGTGGCTTGCTTTTCTTGACTATAAGTTGGAAGTCTGTTACCGACGTGGACTACGCCTTCGCATCTGTCTTTAGTGCCGCACGATGAGGGATCAGAACCATTTTCCAATCGTGAGCAATGGGGATAAGACTAGGTTATGCGAAAACGCAAGGGGGTGCCGTTGGGACTGCTTCTCTGATGTCTTCCAGAAAGAGTGTTGGATACAGGAGGGGCTGCTGTTCTGTGGGTATATTCTTCTGGACAGCGTGCAAAAACCAGGGCAGCAATGAGTAGACGTTCACGCACTTCGTACTTTTGTTTGTGCCCTAACCGTGTACATCAGAGCAAGGCTGCGGACAACGGGGGCGGCTTGGGAATGCTCGCGACGCTGGCTCGAGCGGCAGAGCAGGAGGACCGTAGAGAAGAGCTGTCCATGCAGCTGGCGGAGGAAACACGGACTCTGGACGTGCTAGGGGCAGAGGTGCGTACTCCGCAATACACACGTGTGCCTTATGTGTGACAGATGGATCTGCATCTTGTTGCTGCTGTTGTTGTCTTCACATTACAAACCGCGCTGACCTCTCTGCACAGTGCCTTCCTGTGTCTGTACTGACCTATCACTTGATATAGGCGGACCACCAATACTCGTTGTTTAACCCCGATTTTGGTGTGGCAATAACATTCGACGAACAATAACCTGGGCTGTCCTTGTTGTCCGGATGGGGGAGAAAATCAAGATTTTGTAGGTTTGCTGGGGGGTAGAAATCGGCCACTCGACTAGGGGTCAACAACAGCCGGCTATGAGTTGTCTGCGATGTGCGACGGTGGAACGAGATTGTTGAATGAAGAGGGAATTTCGATGCAAGTACCGGAGGCAACAAGGGCGATGCACGTTGTCAGCGCTAAGCGAAGTTGCAGCCTGCTGACAAAGCAACGTATCGAAAGCAATGTCCCTGGTGACAAACCGTCTGTTCGTGTCAGTCAGAACACTATCAGGATCTCGAGCTGATCCTTGATTTGGTATGAAAGAGACGTGCACGATGCATCCATGTTCCCCTCGTGACGTTCTGCGAGGCAGAAGATTCACTGTTAGTGCTACAGAACATACTGTCCTTGCTGAGGAGCTCACGAGGGCAGGTTATGCATTGATGTGCATCAGGTGCTCCGCTTGGAGGGACGCACACGGGCACTGGAAGAAGCTGCCGCTGCTGCTGCTGCTGCTGCGGGATATGAAGGAGAGGCACAAGGGGGCGCGTCAGTGATCGATGGGCTCTCTCAAGTGCGTGTCGTATTGGCGCTCAAAAGCGCTGCTGCGAGGAGGCAGCGCGACACCGTCAAGACGATGACTTCCGAGGTGCGCATGATTCCTTTGGTCGCACATGAGTGTGGATCAGTCGGACGATCAGTACATCCGAAACTATCTTGGCAAGCGATCGCTTCTCGAGAACATGATTTTGGTCTTGAGGCTCAAGAATGATTGGTAGCTTGCCGTCATACTAATATAGACGTGAACATCCAGATGGATTGTCGGGGTGATAGTTTCGCAAACAATCTCACCCGATGTGTCACCGCCGGCTACAAAAATGAAATCCTCTTCACCGAAGAATGTCCTCACATACAGAGCAATGCTTTCCCTGATATGAATATTTCCGTTCAACCTTGGGCATTTACCAGAGCCCACCAAAACACAAGAACAGGAGTGTGTTCCCAGCGGAGGTACAGTTAGGCGGCCAACATTTGAGCCTATGCTACATTCTTTTCTCATTTGCCAACACTCAGCATCGGCCTACTTCTCGTGTTTCATACACCACCGCCCTATCACCTGGACTGACATAAAGGTGCGCCTTGCCGACGTCCAAGTCGCGGCTTCCTGGCATGACGTCATGTCCCCCCTGTCTCCTCCTTCCGATGGCGAAGCCGTCATCAGCACGGAAGCCCCGATATTCAGCGGTGGCTCTACCGTTTCTTCGGCATCGACAACGGCGACAGGCGTGGCGGGGCGCATTGCGACGTCTACGAATGCTCCTGGCGGGGGGATACGTCGTCCAAACGATAAGGGCGAAGACTCATCAGCAGCAGCGAAGGCGGGGGAGACAATGAGGTTCCAGATCGAGGCTGGCGACGGTCTTTCCAAGGCCGATGCTGCAGATCTCACATGTATTCTCCGAAAGGTAAGTTGACGCCTTACTCCCCACAGGCATTCATTAGGACGTGGCACAAATACGTGGAATACGGCGGTAAATAGCTTCCTCGTACCAAAATCACTGGGCTGGCGAGGCAGGCAGAAGAAATTGTGACAGGCTAGGGATGTCGAGGACGGCAAAGGGGCCACTTCCATTGTTTCTTTTGGGATGAAAGGTTAGTCCATTAGAACAATGCCTATCTGTGCTGCTGGGACTACGGTTTCGTCCAAACTTGAAAGGTGGTTGGTGTAGGATGGAAGTAAAAAAATCCCGGTGTACATGCTATGCAATTTTTTCTGCACGGGGTTTGGCGTGGTACTTGACTCGAAAGCAAAATTTCAAAATTCACTAAACGTTGGTTCTTGTTTCCTGTTTCCTGTTGCTGCTGCTACTGCTCATTGCATTCAGAGCGTGATCGATTTGGGGGAAAGCAGCAGTCGTTCCGGTAGCAACCACAGCAGCAGCAACATTAACAGCAAGACATCTTCGGGTGACATCTGTATCCATTCGTCGTCGGCAAGAGGATTAAGCTCTTCGGAGTTGGTTACGTCCTCGCGTCCATCATCGTCGTCGTCGTGGCTGTCGCGCTGTGGTGGTGAGTCAGTGGCAGTGCCGGGATCAACACCGCTAGACGTAAAGCCCGGCCTGGCTGCACGGAAAGTGCTCCGCACGCTCAGGATGTACGTCACGAGGCTTCGAGTGACCAGCGACAACGAGGCAAAGGCAGAGGAGTGAGTTCAAGCACTGTACCGGGCAGTTACAAAACATATTTCTTTGGTTTTGTAAACGGGGAACGCCACTTCGTGGAGTATGGGCATCGACGGCGGTTCCATGAACGTACGATTGCACGATAGGCAATGAACCACGTACGCATAAGACTTTGTGCGCGGTAATTCCCTGGCATGGATAGCTGGTACCTTTAGTTTTTGCGGGGGGGAGCCGGTTGGGATCAACGCCGCTGAAAACAGACGTAGGAGCGCTCGCCTCAAGGGAGGAGGCCTCTTGCGGTGCCACCGAACGTATGGTCTATGCCAGCCTCGCCTTGGAGTTTGAGCAGAGTTTCAGCTGTGCCGGACATGTTCAACGGTAAATCTGCCCTAGTCGCGATTGGTAGTTGTACAGGGGCGTTGTAAATCGAATGCTTCCATTGCCGAATCTGTTGTACACCCTCTGAGCAACAAGCACAACTGTCCGGAAGGAAACGGTCGCATTGGCGTTCAGTCTTTCCGCTCCAGGGTCGATCCCAGCCTCACGTTCGGCAAGAAAACTTATACGTTTTAGTCAGGGACATCGTTGGGAAAACATGCGTTTCGACGAAGGCTAGCGCTTGGGACAGTGGGGAATGCACGAGTTGTTTCGAGGGGTGCGTGAAATTCACATTCGGGTTGGTTCATTGTAATGAACCCCAAATGTTCTTCTCTGCCGTGCCCGCCTCTTGTTGTTTTGTCTCGACTATCCGACCACCATTCGCACGCCCTCCTCTTGGTGACTTGCATTTTCACTCCTCCTGGAAGGATTGACTGGAAAGAAAAGCTGGAGGAACACAGGCTGGCGGCGACTATCATCATCCAGCGGTGGGCGCGAAGGGTCCGACACGACACGACCATGATCTTCCTTGCCAAACAGAAGGTGCTTATGCTGCAGGAAAGGACAGCGCGCTGCCTGACACCGAAACTCTGACTTTAGTGTTGTTCTGGCAGTTCGTAGAATGCGGGACAAGAGGGGTTATGCTGCTGCTGTAGTCGATTTGTAGTGTGTGGGCGTGTAGTTCAGTTGTGAGCACGCAAACGTGCTGCAGGGATTGCAGGTGTTCCTCCTCGGGCTTGCGTACCCTTTCCTTGCTAATAGTGTGTGTGTTCTTTAGATCCTCTGATGGCTCTAGCATTTTTGTGACCACGGACCGAGTCTTTGCTAGATTTTGGGATCAGCAACTGACACGAGTTTAATGTGAAGAATCACAACAACAAACAACAAGTTGGTGATGAAGCTGAGGATGATGCTGCCGTTGCTGGTACTGCTGCAGCGTTGGTAGTCGTAGGGGTGGGGATGTCGATGGTGGTGGTCGTGGGTACTCTAGTTGAGACGCGCAAGGCGTTTCCGTTGTTTTCCTAGCAGCTCGAATCCAGGATGTTACTATTTGAGGTAAAATCGGCGCTTCCAAGGACTCTTGAGAGACGATCGGCATGACATGTGAATCCACCCAGGCAAGCATTCTTCGGTACGCTCGAGACAAAGCAAAAAGGCGCGCCCTGGCAGAGGAGGAAAGGCAGGTCTTTGCTGCGAGAGACGTGCTCAAACGGCAACAGATGCGCATCATTGAAGAACAGGTGAGTCGTGTGCCCTTGGAGTTTCATACGAGAACCCATGAGGCCAGAAAATCGGAACGAGTAGGAAGCAATGGGAATCACGAAAAAATATTTCACAACGCTGGTAAAGGTTTGCTAGGGTGCCTGAAATCATCGACGATAACTCCGCACTCTCTCGCCTTCGCGGAAACGAACCTTCAATACTCCAGGCGTCTCAATTGGAGGCCACCAAGTACAAGTTTTCACGGCGTATCACCGAATGTGCAGGAGTGCACAGCGAACATTGTTTGACACTGCACCCCGCCCTCGTCCATTGGCATTCTCACCTCGGGTATTCAAACAGGAAGCGGTTGAGACTATTCTGAAGGATGTCATGATACGCGAAGCGGACCAGAGGTATTGGCGAGCCAGGATCAAGGCCCAGACTCCCATTCTAAGGGCTTGGAGGCGAGCACAAGGACCAACCTTGTGATGTTTTTTGTATCCGTACGTCTTTTGTAGATCCGTAGCTTGCCTCCAACGATCGGATTCCATACGCTGGAGCCGGGCAAATGACAGAAGGCCTTTGACCACAACGCCAATCGAGCAGGAAACAGGTGAAGGTGGAGGTGCGATTCCGATCTCACCGGCGCGGTCGCCTCTGCGGGGTGTTGGCGGACTGGCGTGCTTGGATCGCGGGAGATCGAAAGGGGCTTGCTGCAGTGGCCAAGATTCAGCAGGCTTGGTTCGAACATCGCAGAAGGTGCGCCCTTGGAGGAAAAGTAGCCTTCGAGGTAACAGGATCATACTTGTCTGATCGGATAAACGTGCCCGTCCACCACCGTCGACACTTGCTCGTGCAATTAGGAGCAGCGAACTTGTTCTTGAGGAAGTATGGCTTGCCGCGAGTCACGAGTACGAGCACGCCCGTGCCTAGATTCCATGAACACTGGGCCTTTCAAGCCGGGGTGCTCTTTCGGTCCCCGAAACACACGTATGACAACCATTACATGCTGTACTATTATGGGCCATTCAAAAAGGGCAAGTCGTCTAACAATGTGAGCTGCTTGGTGGTAGGGGGTACACCTGTCTAGTACGTTCAGCGATCTCTCTTGAGATAGACTTTCGTGCTTCGCCTGTTGAATCAGTATTCGAGAGTCGTCACGTGTTCAGACGTCCGACAACGCCACAAAGGGAAGCACATGGTTGAAACCAGTGTCATCGTTGATCTACATCTAGGTGCCAGATGAGGCTCGCCATAGTGGCATCGAGCAAACGCCATGAGAGAATAAGGCTGTATATGATCCAGGCCCTGGGCCGCAACGCCGGCGACCGCTTCGCAAGATGGAAGCTTTACACGAATTTCATGAACAAGGTATGAAGGCCAAGGGCATTGGCAAAGCAACGTACCACCGACGTGGTGGGTTGTTGGGTTGGAAGATATGCTGTGACAGGAAGGGCTATTGTATTTTCAACAACAGGTGCAGTAACCCTAGCGAGGTGCACGAGAACTGTGGACTGCTGTCACACCCGACTACTTTTGTCGGAGCCCAGAAAATCATCGTTTTTGAGGCCATTTGTTTGCCACAATACCGCAATCGTGTCGGTCAAATTCGTTTTTTCGTTCGGACTTGCCTTTTTCCCTTTCTCCAGGTAAAACTGATGGGCGGCGCTCATATCCGACAGGGTCTACAGCAGCGACTGAAAAGGTACAAGTCACTTGTCGAGTGAAATTCACTTGAACAGCAAATTTTCTTCGGGTCTTCAAGAGATCGCTGGAGCTTGTTGTTGTTGTTGTTGTCTTCACATTAGTGATCGCTGGAACTTCGCTGTGCATGATGTCAGGCTATCCAGCAAACGTCTCGGTACTTCAGATAGCACATCGTAGGGCCTTCTACCGCAAATGGTATTGGGGAACATCCGCTCCTCTTTTCCACACCCGCAGTGAAATATGACGCATATGTAGCCCTGTCTACCAGCTACGCTTCAGCTGGCGTCGTACCTCCGTTAGATCTCTCTTCTCACCCGATATGTCGCACGTGCCCAGAGATTATTGTCGCTACAGTCACTACTGGGTCGGGGTGCGCCATCCAGTCAGGACCACCTTTTCGCTGCATGACTCACGCAATTGACAAGCAAGCTGCTCGCGGCGATCACCCGCCGCCAGCCAAAGTTAGTCACGCACAGCAGTCTGTAAACTGTGATTCTTAATCAGCCGTGATTTTCAACCTCGTGTCTTTGTCGGCCGTTGCTGTGCAGGTGGAAAACCTTCACATGCTCTGCCAAGGACGAGCGGCTCCTAGCGGCCACTCGGTTGCAAGCCCATGCTAGGGCCATGAAAGCTAAGACGACAATCAAGGCACTCCGAAGGGAGCACTGGGCAAGAACCATGATCGGTCGTCAGGCAAGTAGTTCAAAGCGAAAAAATACATAGTCCGAACAAATCCCAGTCTTGAATCCTAGTTACAAAGTACAAAAACTAACCACGGAACTACGAAATTGGTCTCTGAGGGGGCACTTGCCTGGGCGAATGACAGCGGAACGTATCTCGAGGGAACGCAAGGAGGGTGATTTTGTGATCTACCCGCTAACAGCGGATGCTCATTAAGCATTGGCCCAGGCTTTTCGTCAGGCATGTCATTGCTGCTCTTCGCTGCGCAAAAGGGTTTTGTCGACTTATCTTCCAATCCTTGTCTCTTATCGAAGCCGCGACAACGTGCTTGCAGACGTTATTGACGATGGGTTGATGAACCGGTCGTTCGACGCCCCGACGAGCAAGTATTTTGTGACGCATGCGACAACCCACCGAATGAAACCGAAATCTTCATGCACCACGTACATGATGACCGAAACCGGACGCATCGCATACAGCAGCGTTGATAAACTATCACGGAAACATGCTGTTGTTGTTGTTGTTGTGGCATCAAGCCGCTTTTTTAGATTGAAGAAATGCAATGGGGAGGTTGTTGATGAGGCGCAACACTAACTCCGCTACAACACCTTGGTCTGTGTGTTCCGCCCCTCTTACGAATCTCTCACGAACTTACCCTTCAGATTGCCGAATGGCCTGTGTGTTTCGCTCCTCCCGCACATCTCCCACAGCTTTCCGTTCAGATTGCCATCATTCGCTTCGGCAAGTGGAAGCGGCGTATGGCACGGCTAAGGGCCGAGGTCGCGGCCTTCCGAGAGGGGAAGGACAACGCTTTTTTCGTCCGGGTGTTGCGGGAATGGCAAGGGGATGCCCACGGGCGGGCGCTTGTCAGGCTAAGCATCGTTGGCATGGCGCGCAAGAGAGACGAGCGGGTGTGTTCGCCATGCTCGACGGGGTATTTTGTGATTGTCGACCCAATCAACAAAGATTCTCTCGGCCCACTTAAGTGGCCTCTCTCTATGTTGAAAAAGACGAGTCTTCGGGGTGTTGAAGCATAGGGTACGTGTAATTTTCGGCCGTCAGGTATCGAAGTAACGATGAGAGGGGTGACAGCGAACAACTGGTACCACGTTTCCCAACAGGTGCGGAAAGAGGCGATTTCAGCATGGAGGGAAACCGCCGCCGGTATCGCACAAAACCGTCGGAGAAAAGAACAGACGGAGGAAAAACGTGCCGCCGAGCGTTCGCGTGTAGCCACCTTAATACAGGCGGTGTGGCGCTCACATAGCACCAGGAAGGTATACCATCTATCGTAGACGTTGCTTGGGATGTTATCCATCCGCGCACGCCAGCATGCATAGCTCCTAGGCCTAATTTCTGCCGTTTCGAGGAGCACTGTGTGGTCTTTCGGTGGAATCACATCCGTTTTCAAGGCTTCATCCTCGCTTGCGCAGGGTGACAAACAAAATAGAAGTAGCCGACTTTCCGTGGTCACAAGAAGGTGTCCTAGACATGGCTGTCATGATGTTCTTCCTGGGCTTGGTATGTACAGCATATTTCTGTATAGTTCGTTGAAGAATATGGACCTGTTTGCTCGGTAGCGGTGCTTAAGACTGCACCCGAATAACCACTTTTCTTTGAAGAACTTGAGATGTTTGACGAGGCCACATCGTTCGCACCCACCACTGCTTTTCACGTCAATTTTTTTTCCGTGCATGGTTGCCTGAACTGACTACTTCAATCCCGTGGGGTACATTGGACCAGGCTTTGAAATACCTTCTGAGGGAGTGGAGAGCGGCCGTGATCATTCAGAAATGCTGGAGAGGCTTCCAAACGAGAAGCACCTCAACCACAAAGGCGAGCCTTGACCGTAGATATTCGTTCTACATCTGCATGCCCCCTCTTGACGCCGGTGCAGCCGCCGGAAGAAAGCTGACAGGACGAAGACGATTGTTCTCGTTGTTACCGGCGGTGTCATCGGCATACAGCGTCCGACAGATGCAGGCACACATTCACCATGTCAGATGTGTGCTAGAGGGTACGTTTCGGATGTCAAGTTCAAGATCGAAAGCCGCCATTCGGTCGACTGGCACTCCCATCAGGGCTTGACTTTACAACTACAGCGAGACCTCAGCGATCACATGACCCACAGCACGCAATGGCCCCGAACCAAAGGGCCTGTGAATCTATGGCACTCATCATCCTCTTTACCTACCGCCGCTTCTACGATCGATTGCGATATTCGTGGCGGGGCACATCCAAATTTCCAGGCTGAACTGGACAACGGGGCCATCGCGCTTCAGAGACTCTTCAGAGGCCACCAAGCTCGATCTAGGTGTGTGGTACTGCCATCGCCTTCGCCTTTGCCTTCGCCTTCGCCTTTGTTTTTGTTGTTCCCGTTGTTCCCGTTGTTTTTGCTGACGTTTACATCTCTCGCAGTTATTACACATGAAAAACCGGGCATGATCCAGCGACTTAATTTGTGTCCCACCCATGAACAAAACGATGGTCACGGTTACCATGCCACAGATGTGGCACGAAAAAACGAGATGTGTTTCGCTTCTAGGCGCTTGAAGCGTGAACAAACAATAAGGTTGTAGTTCTCCAGTAAAGTCAGAAACGACCTGGTTTTGCAGGGCGCTCAACTTTTCTAGGCAGGTTTTGTGGACGCAGTCAGGTCGGGGTAGGTATACAAGGAGATAATGTAGCGTGGACCACATTTCGGAGACTACCCACCAGGTCAAGCGATATCCTTTCCAATTTCATTGACTTTCAGATGTGCTCTGCAACGACACTCTTCGTCATTGCATGTGCTCCCGCCGTTCTGTGCACCTCAACATACAGGCACATACCCTTTCTAGAGCATGTCGGCTAGAGTTCGTCCCATACGTACTCAGCTTATCCGATTTGTCTCTCGTTTTCGCCTCCTTGATCTTTGACACGAACATTTCTCAGGTATCTGTCGTTCTTCGTGAGCGAGGCAGGTCGAGCAGCCTCAACAGGTCGTTACGAGCGGCTCTTTTGGCTTGCGGATAGATGGCCTGCACTCACTCAGCATGAGGTTTTCGCTGCAACGCTGGAGGGAGGGGGTGGTGGCGAAGGATTGCTGCACCTTGCTTGCCGAGCGACCGCCCACCGCTGTGTTGAGTTGTGCCTACAGCGGGAGGTCAGTCCATCAATCTTTCCATGTTCACGGCGATCAAGGCTTGGCTAAATGCCGGCCTGGTAGTCGTACATCCCACTTGCTTCGTTCCAGGTTATGAAGGAAAAATAGTTGTCATGAGACTTCACCTGCCTCGGCCGACTTCAGATGATGCACTCCTACCGAACACCATCTGTTTGGTCTGCGTAGATGTACCGGATGGCACGTTCGACATAGCCCCCAGCTGTAATTGAGGAAGGCTTACCACCCTCCGTTGATTTGTCTTAAACATATTTCATAGGCGGATGTTCATGGGGTCACCCCTGCTGGGCTGACACCCCTCCACTACCTGGCACTGTACCGAGCTCCTTCGCGAGGCGATAGAGCTAACTACGGTTACGGAGGAAGTCTCACGGCTATGGATGATCATGACCGTAATGCTGAAAATTATTATGGTGGAGGCCCACATCGTCGATCCCAGACGTCTACAGCGGTTGTGGCCGTTCCCCCGACAACATCACCAGGACCATCATCCCCGAACTCAGCAATTTCAGCACCAACGGGGCAACGGGGGTCAGGCGTAACATTGCCCAATGACCGCTCGGTTGTCGCACGTCAGCAACAGCAGCGACAGCTGGAACGCCAGTACCAGCAGCAGCAACGGAAGCTTTCGGCGGACCGGTCGGCAAGGACAATCGCTGACATGCTGCTCGACGCTGGGGCTGACCCAGACGCCGTTGATGGCGATGGAAACACGCCCCTTCTCACCGCTGCCAAGACGGGAGCAGCCGTGCTGTGCGAGATCCTTCTTGCCCGTGGAGCAAATCCTTGCGCCAGGTCAGCAGCAACCGCTCATATGTTGTCCGAGCATACCGTTGGTGTGTGCGGGGGGCACTGAGGGATACGTCGCCGTTTTCAACTGCCGCAAACCGCCATCGGTATCCCTTCACTCGTTGCCGTTTGGCCACCTGACCTTGGCATGGTCCGAGCGCCCCGACATCACGAGCTGCTATAGGGCATGGCAGGCACGAAAAAGTGTAGTGGGACAACAGGTCGCGCAACGCTACAGATGCATTCGAAGAATCGCCAACAAACAACCAACAGAATGGATGTGGCTAAGCCAGCACATCGGCTGAACTTCGGCACGTTTCTGGTATCGGTGGGAGTCTGGAAGGCGCTGTTCGCACAGTTTCGCAAAGTGCGAGTTTCCCTTGTGATACTCTTTACTTAGGGGTGCGCGGATACGTCTGGCTGAAGTGGCCCCGAAAGAGATCTAGGCTCTCGAAATACCCTAGGTATGTATAGTTCGAACGAGCGTGGTTGACACGATGTGGAGGACGCTGAATAGGTATCCACATTGACGAGCTAACGATCAGTCGTTACTCCCTCGTGCTTGCTGTAACCATCGTGTGGCGATGGGCTTTTTGTCTTCTCTTGATCAGGAACAACTCGGGATCGAACGCCCTGCTTTTGGCGGTGGATGGAGACAATTCTGCTGAGAATTCCGCATGCGTACAGGTTCTTCTAGATGCAGGTATGCTTCACTACAAACTCAAACCGTTCAATCCCGTAAGGCCATGTCCGTCCAACACCATAGATATCCATCCATCCCTTTCGTGGCTGCTAGCAGCGGGGATATTTCAGGTGACATTCTTATTTTTCCTCTTAGCAGTCGACATCTGGAGTTCTCAAGGCGACGAGCTCACATGTGTTGCAATAGCACAAAACAACGTTTCGTCCTCTTACGTTTTGCCGCCTTTCCCTCGCTCTCGTTGGCAAATTTGAACGCAATGGATTCTATCGCGGCTTGCTACGAATTCGCTACGAATCCGCTAAAATCATTCAGGCCGTTCGTGATCAGTGCAAAGTTTGGTATCCGAAAGTCTACCATTTTTATCAGAATGGCAACACGCTAAGGTGTTCTGTGAGGGACAAGGTATTTCAGATTGTTTGAAGTAAATGTTTTGGAACGTATGAGCCCAAACGCAACTTCGTATCCCCCCCAACCTTCATTCCGAAAATTCGTGCACATGCACATTCCTCCCCCCTCCGCCCTCTTGGGGACACCGTACTCTACAAAAGGTTCGGATCCTCACGAGACCGGACCGGATGGAACTGTTGCCCTGCACGTGTCGGCTCGAAAGGGACAGACAGAGGTATGCCCATGACACTACATGCGTGATGATTGTCGTCCGTGCAGCGTCTTAGTGTGTTCGAAACATCCTTCATGGCTCTACGACTCCGTTGTTCAAGGTTGTATTTTCCTGAGCGCAGCGCGCTGGGGGTAGCAACGGTCGTTTTCGCCATTGCACAAGGTTCGAAATGGCAAAGACATGGCGAAGAAGTGCACAGTGCCACCTCGTCCGCAATGCACCCGCATTGCTCAGTCGATTTGTTTTTTCTGGTGCTTTCAAGTTATGGTGGGGCGCGTGGGGCATTGACGTGCTACTTGTCCGGGAATTGTTGTGCTTATCAGAACTGGCTGCGGCTATGCGCGAAGAGCCTCGTCAATGGATTGCGGGGGACGGGAACGATTTGCTCGACTCTATAATTTCGGCATAAGTCTTGGACCAACGCCGACTTGGTGTTTTTTCCTGGCAGGTTTTGTGGTCCCTCCTCCAGCACGGGGCACACGTGGATGTTGCGGATGTCTCTGGCCTGACGCCACTCGCGTACGCCGTGAGTAATGACCGCGGGGATGCTACAGGCCTCCTTTGCGACTACGGGGCAGACGTGAGTAGGAGTTGAGTATTAGAAACGGGGAGACGGCTGGATGTGCCAGCGCTTTCGACTGTCCGAAAAATGAGTGGTTGTTCGCACAGTTTCGAAGCGAGGAACAGCGGGTGCTTGGATTGGGTTGAAAGGAGACGAAGGTCGGCAAAGAACATGTAGGAGGTAAAAGAGGCGACGGAAGGGTATAATCCAGTGCCTCCCCCACCCGTTAAGAATGGGGGAATGACGTCCGCACATACTATGTATCTCCAATAGTTGCTGACTACCACACATTGTCTATATTGTTTCGAAAACAACTTTTTCAGCACGTTGATGTGTTGCAGTCGAACACGACACGACCATCACGTACGTACAGGGACCGCTGTGTCCCCTTCATGGCTGCTGATATGTTGACGATTATTGCACTTTTCGCGGCATAATCAGCTGGACTTGACGGATGCCGCCGGTCGGACAGCCCTCCACGTGGCCTCCCAAGACGGGAAGGTCAACGCCTTGGGCGAGCTTCTCGGGAGGTCGGTCAACGTCGATGCCAAGGATGCCATGGGAGAGACTGCTCTTCACTACGCCGCCTACTCGGGGAAGGTGCTACAGTACAACGAGCGAAACGCACAGCACTGGTATCTATGGTAGTGACAATATGCGGGCTTGGGGACCAAGGTTTCTCGTTGGGGAGCAAACCCCTACCTCCCTTCGCGGAAGGCGCAGAAAATCTGTTTCCAGTTTCTTGGAGGCAGCAACAACAGATGCATTAATGTTGAGGCGAAATATTGCTTCAGTAGTCGCACCCCTTGTCATGCAATCTCATATACATACTTCGCATAACCCCAAAGCGACTCCGCGGCGGCAGGTTGAGGCGGTGCGAGCGTTGCTAGAGACTGGCGCCGACCCGTCTTTGCAGAACCTGCGAGGGGACAACGCGGCGCATATCGCGTCACGGGCAGGATATGTTGAGGCGAGTTTTATCCCCTGCCAGGGGCATCGTCTTGCCTTACCACCACCGACACTCCCGCATCACGTGAAAAGACAGGTGGTATTGGTTCCGCGCGTGCCAACAAGAAGATATTTTTATGTGTGTACCACTGTGAGGGAAAAATATGGTGCGATATCGGTATTGGATCGCGCGAATCCATGTTGTGTGGTCCCGCGACCATCAAGCCGGCACCCTTGCCCCGCACGCCCTCATGCCCAGGCAGGCACCTGATATGATTAAGGGCGGAAATAATTCACACGGGGCGACCACTATCCCCACCTGCCGAACAATGATTTGCTCAAATCTGTTAGTTCCCACGCCTCTACCCTGAGCACCACCCTTGCCCGAATGGAAAACAATCTTCGTATCTGGAAATAACTGACGATGTCGTCCTGGCTATCCTGCTTCAGGTTGTCCGAGCTCTGGTGGAATATGATATTCGCATCGGACAGAGGAACTGGCAGGAGTACACCCCCTTCGGGGAGGCGCGAATGAACAATCATTCCCATGTACGACAATGTCCAGCGAAGCTAAACTACTTGGCGTTTGTTTTCAATTACGGACTCTATGTCACGCCTGGGCTAACCACTAGCGGAAGCGCGTCAGCCTTCAGTAGATCACCGCGACCAGCTAACCGGGTGCATTGTGCTTTGGTTAAAGCACTGCCACGGTGCTGAGATATGGACTAATCGTCGATTCGTCGTTTCTGAAGCGAGTGTCATGAATTTATGAATCTGCCACTGTCTTACATGCCAACTCAACAGTAGTCCAAAAACACTCTGAATACCGCATGCAAGAGGCCAGAGGCAAGACTTGAGTAATCGTGTGTGTGGGTGCTGTTCTATCTCAATTGGTCCCACCGCCGAATCTCATCGTTTGACCACACTCCACGTCAATTGCATCACATCAAGGTGGCCGAGTTCCTCTTAGCCAGCTTTGTTCGCCTCGGGGGTAAAAATTCGTCCTTGGGGGTAAACAACGGCGCAAGCACGACGAGTGCCAAGCTGGACGATGCCCAACAGCAGCAGCAGGGTGGGAATGAGGCACGGGGGTGGGACAAGGAGATAGAGGACAAGGTCCAAGGGTGGGAGACGGAGTGGGATCAAGACAAACAGAGGTTCTACTACGTCAATGCTGAAACACGCGAGACCAGCTACACAGCGCCGTTTAAGATATCCGTGAGTGTGATGTGGCACGCGGCCGCAAGCCACCAAGGCAATCGCTCGTAACCCCGGAAAGTTTAGACAATGACAGTTGAGCACCCTCACCTTTGAAACGGCGCGGAAGAAATAAGCGGCAATCGTCACGTGTGTCCGAAGCGACCCGCAATCGTACCCTCCAGGACAAGACCAATGGGAGCAATTTTTCAAAGTGTCATCTGTTTTCTATTGCCCGCATCTGCTGCCAGGCGGATCGAGTCGAAGAGTTGAGGGAAGGCGCCGAGGTGGAGTATCTCAGAAAAGTGGCCCCAGTCAACGGTGAAAGTCTGCTTGGGCTCTCCGACTACAGGTGTTTTTCATAGGAAACAGATTGGGCTATTAATAGTTGTCGGGTTCTCTTCCCGTGGGTGTAGCAAATTCCTGTCGTTGCTGCTGTGGTGGGCATCACTTTCCCTCGTTGGATCGACACTTGAACCTGAGCGTTATCACCAACTTTTTCAGGCGCACCTCTTCCGACGTATGCCATCCGACAGTATGCGGTCTGCCCAACGGACAGTGGAGAAAGAAATTTGACAAACTTCGCAATGTCGTCACAGTTCGTGCCTCCGTTTTCTTTGAAATCCTTCCGGGTTCGGTTGTAGTGTGAGGGTTATTTCCATCTGCCGGCCGGTGCTGTTTACTGTTTAGTTCTGTTGATGTTGGTCACCCTTCCTTCTCTGCCCTCCCCCGACCCTTCTGTGTGTGTCGGTTGTGTGCGGAACGTCAAAAAACAACAGGGAAGCTTTCCAGGAAGAGAAAACGGAACTGGACACGCAAAAGCTCAGACATCAGGTACGCAAGTGGTGCACTCGGTACACCGTGGCAAGTTCTGATGCTTGCCACAAACTGATGCTCGGGCTAGTTTCACGAGATTTAGCGCATCCCCAACCTAGCGCAGCTCATAACGCAGAAGATATCACTGGAGTTCACTGGCTGTACGGTGAAAACAGGCGTTCTCAACTCGACGAGGTCAATATTACGTGGTGGTAGGCGGCGTTAATAGCGGTATCTCTAGGCGGTCCTCTCGTCAGCAGCTGCGAGTGGACGCCCCTGGATGTATCTGAGGGTTAGTATTAGGACTCGGATTTCGATGATGGTCCGGGCGTGGATACTTCATCCCTACGAGTAGATGGACCCCACTGAGAAAGGCTTGAGGGGGGAAATCATGGCCCGAGCTAGCTCTTTTTCGCTGCACTACGGTAGGGTGCGACCGATTAAGCACTTGGCCTGTATATTCCTCTAGGACAACTTGCTCCATTGTTCTCCAATGTTGAGCCAACACGTCGGCGTTAATTCTACTCTGATAGCCTTGTGCACCATATTCTGTTTTGGCGATTTTTCTTCGCAGGCGGTTGTAGTGATTCAGTCGTGTTGGAGGGCTCGGATGGCCAGGATTGAGGCGAACCGCCGTCGAAAGGAACGAAGGTGCGCATTGAGAGCAGAAGCTATTTCGAGTTATGTAGAACCTGGGCGCAAGTTTCGACACGGAATTCCGTCGATAGAACACGGTTCTTAACCTGGGCAAGGAGGCTTTCTCCCGCATCTCATGACGGAGGACAGATCTTCTTGAAAAACTATGTGATTCAACCCAGTTGGGGTAGCCAATTGTTGAAGGCAGCTCAGGCATCATATTTGGCATATCTCCCTCCACCACCGAAACTCGCAATTTGTGTGGTTGCACCGCCACTTGAACCATCATATTACTCTCGCGGAAAGCAGATGCGCCAGCGTGATTAAGCGGCAAATGCGACGGTTTTTGGGGAGATGTCGGCGAAAACGCCTGGGGCAAGTGACGTCGGCGTGCCTGATGCTGCAGAAGATCGTCCGAGGCTGCATGGCCAGGTGAGCAAGCCAGCGAGCGAGGAACAACCGGGGCTCTTTTCAGCAGTTTATGCGAGAGCATCTCATCTTCGGAACACCGCTGTACCACCAGCACTTGTTTGAGCAGCGATCGACTGGTGAAAAATACAGGTATCTGAAGGTGGCCCGTATCATGCAGCAATGCACCTTCTTGGCCTAAAAACAGTGCTGCTATGGACCAGAATGACAGCAACAACAACTAACATCTGATGTCTTACAATAACTGCATCAACGCGTAAAACGTGCAGGCGCCGACACCGCAAAAGCGAGGCGGAGATGAAAAGCTTGCGGGACGCCAACACCCTGAACCGCCTGGTGACGAGAGTCTACAGAGGACACCTGTATGGCAGAAGGCCGGCAAGAAACCTTAGGGCGCAACGGGAGGCGTCTTGGTGGGGTCCTTCGGAGTGGGAGGTGACCCAACACAACTGTGTTGTTCTGTTCTTCAACGACCACAACATGGTATCCACGAACAGAGGCATTGAGTCGGCGGTCTTTCATTCTTCGCCTCTAGGAAAAAAACGAAAGCACGCCGTAAGCCAGCCATGATAATTGTTCTCACCATGCCGCACGAACCCTTTTCACTCGACAACTCAAAGGCGGCTTGGCACGATGCCGGCGGTCCTTTGCGAACGTTCTATGGTTGGACTGGCCAGTGGGAGGCCTACCTTCTCCAAGGCTCCGTGGACGTAATGTTCTACAGGTGAGGGGAGAAATAGCTTCGTGAATGTCCTACAGATGGAGACATACCAGGTGTAGATAACATAAGTACATGATGCCTTCGCCTACCACACCTGGGTAGGTCTTCGTTTCACCGCCCGTCCCACCAAAATTCTTCCAAGACTTGCCGACAGTACGCTAAGCGTGCTTCCTGTGAAGTGTTTATCGGTTGCCCACCAATATCTGAAGGTGAACGGTTCACGAAATCAACCACAGCACGTCCGAACGATGCGGTACATGGAAACGGCACGGTACATGGTCAAGAACACTGACTTCAGGAAATCTTCAACCCGTTGGAAATGAAAAAAAAATCATGCTAACATTGGACCACCGGAAACCCGGTTCGGCGGAAACGCTTAAGCATTGGCGGACGACAGCGCATGAAAAGATGTTTCGTGTGTAGTTGTCCAGCACCAAGCCACGGCACATACTTGCGAGGCGAACCTTTCGTGGTTGGCTGCGATGATCGTCGGTGCGGGATTGTGATACGTCCCCGCAGTAGACGCTTGAGATGCATCTTGACTATGTTAATTTATTGTGTGCCGTTTTCATCTCCATCTCTATGTCCACACAACGAAAGGGTTTGATGAAACTTGCGCGGCAGTCTACAAACGTAAAAGAAATTACAAAAAGACAGAAGAATGGGTTGGCTCCATTGACTCATTTTTTGTTGCACATCTGGTGCACCGTCCATCACAGAAACGCCTCCTCGGCGGAATACACCTGGAACTTGCCAGAGGAGTGGCAATCGCAAGACGCCTTCGATTTCTACCAAAGAGAGGTAGGCATTCGGCACCGGAAACAAGCCTCCAGACAAGAACAATGCGACTTCTATTACAACTTTCATATGCCGATGGTGTACAAATAGAACAGCCTCGAGC